CCTAAAAATTCCTGAAAATTGCAAAAATCGCAAAAATGCCTGAATATTGCCAAAATCGCAAAAATGCCTGAAAATTGCGAAAATTGCGAAAATTCCTGAAAATTGCAAAAATCGCAAAAATGCCTGAAAATTGCAAAATAGCAAAAATTCCTGAAAATTGAAGAAATTCCTGAAAATTGCAAAAATTCCTGAAAATTGTAAAAATTCCTGAAAATTGCAAAAATTCCTGAAAATTGCAAAAACGCAAAAATTGCAAAATTGCAAAAAATCCTGAAAATTCCTGAAAATTGCAAAAAACGCAAAAATTCTTGAAAATTGCAAAAATTTCTGAAGATTGCAAAAATCGCAAAAATGCCTGAAAATTGCAAAAATTGCTAAAATTCCTGAAAATTGCAAAAATTCCTGATATTTGCAAAAATCGCGAAAATGCCTGGAAATTGCGAAATAGCAAAAATTGCAAAAATTCCTGAAAATTTAAAAAAATCCTGAAAATTGCAAAAATTACTGAAAATTGCAAAAATTGCAAAAATTCCTGAAAATTCCTGAAAATTGCAAAAATTCCTGAAAATTGCAAAAAATCCTGAAAATTCCTGAAAATTGCAAAAAACGCAAAAATTCTTGAAAATTGCAAAAATTGCTGAAAATTGCAAAAATCGCAAAAATGCCTGAAAATTGCAAAAATTGATAAAATTCCTGAAAATTGCAAAAATTGTAAAAATTCCTTAAAACTAGGAAAATTGCAAAAATCGCAAAAATGCCTGAAAATTGCGAAATAGCAAAAATTGCAAAAATGCCCGAAAATTGCAAAAATCGCGAAAATGCCTGAAAATCGCAAAAATGCCTGAAAATTGCAAAAATTGCAAAAATTTCTGAAAATTGCAAAAATCGCAAAAATGCCTGAAAATTGCGAAATTCCTACCTTATTTCCTTTGGTTCTCACGATGTTCTCTGAACATTACAGGATATTCCTTTTCGTGGGAACCAGAACATAAACAAAATCTACAGGGTGCCCTTAGAAGGTCCTTACAGAAACTGACTCACTTCTTTCCATTAGCATAGAAGTTTCAGATGTTTATTAACTGAAAAAATCAAGTCTAATGCCCATGGAAGCAACTTTGTATACTGAGGTAATTTGCATCGAATTATTGTTTTGGTGTGAGGAATATGTGGTGAGTTTCTGTAAAGACCTTTCAGGGAGAGCTTGTATAGTATATATCTATATGAAAGTAGGTCTTCCCCCTTTGAAAGCTTTTAATTCCGCTCACCCTGTACATTGTGCAGCGAAGTCATCGAACTGGTGATTTGACATGTCTTCTCAGATTGTGAGGAAGGAAGTTGTACAAGTACAAACCAAAGACATGTGGTGCTCTTTTGGATAATTCCAGATGCTTGAAGCAAAGTGGAAGTTATCTTTTTTCCTTTTATAATAAGTATGAGTGTCACTATTTCTTTCTTCTTTGAGCCCATTACCCATGGGCATTCACTGTTCGATTCTTTTTTGCAGCTCAGCCTTTTGATGAATTATTTCGCAAAGTTGTACGTACAAACGAGTATAAGGTACTATGATAACTCATCTGCTGTTCTCACTCTACTTGTTGTGATTTTTCCAGTGGGTGCTCATATTTGTCCCTTTGCCATCCCCCTGGCTACAGGCCTGATTTTCATCCCTCGAACGTGATAAATTCTCGCTTTTACGATTCCTGTTTTGTTGGGAGTCCATAACGTAACATCACTGCGTATGGAAATATTAATAATGATGAACGATGAATGTCTGTGCAAATATTAATCATCCTAAACGATCATATAGGTCTGAAATTGATGAATGGTTCGTCGCATGGCTGACGATGTCTGATGCACCAGGGAATTTCTATATTTGTTCTAAACTACCAAACTGTTGGAAAGGGGCCTCGAACTTTTCATGAGCAGAATTATCATCCTCACACCGATTTTTCTGCTTGGTAACATAGCTATAGGAAGTAATTGTTTTTCTTTCGTTATCGAACATCGTCGTTCAATGTAAAAATCTTCAAAAACGGTAAGATTCAAACAAAATTCCTAATAAGAGGGCATGTTTGCTTTTTTACGAGATTTATTGGGAAGACAAAATATTGACTATCAAATTAACGTTATATTGGTTGTTGACTCTGCGATCTCTTTTATGATATCGAGTTGTTTATTGAAATCTTCCTCTTAGAGAGGGACCATGAAACTTCGTGAAAAAGCAATTCAAGAAGTTTATCCTACTATCCGAAACAACAACTTTCAACAGTTTCGCCCATTTCGTATCATCAAGAGAAAATTGGCTTCATTTCTGAATAAACAAGTCTCGAGAGTGGTTTATACAACAAATAACACGTTGGGTAGGTTTATATAAAATAATGATCAAACTTATAAATTTGAGAGATGAGAAGTGTAAGTGTAAGTGTATGGATCTTATCCTAGGATATACAGGATATTGTACTGCCAATAAATACTCTCCGCGATTGGAAGACCCAATAAATTGTTTCTGGTCTGGATTTCCGGTCACTCTGTAATGGAAAGTAACGAAACGGCAGAATCTACTATTGGCATCTCAGCAAGTTTCGCTAAACATAGACTGTACACCTGGACTGCAAGAAGAGTTCCACACTTCTGGCAGAATCTACCAGGATTGGCTTATTCCAAGGCATACATACATCCTTGTTTGTTTGAGGTGATAGTCATTATCTATAGATTCTATAGATACTAGTGCTAGTGTGTGGTGGTTTATCACGTCAAAGATTTATGAATCGCTTCAGGTGTTCGGTATTCTATGTCGATCAAACTAGTAAGTGAATGGTATATATTAACTACCGGTACATTCCATGGAGCAGAAGTTATAAGAGAATGAGTCCATTGGAAATCAGCTCTCTCATTCAGAAATTAAGTTCCATATGACCATTGCTGTTAGATCCTCGCTTCATAAAAATGTTGTGATTAAAGCATCCTGCTCCTTTACAAAAATGAGAAGGTTCCATTTCCTCTTTCATTTATTTTTTCATCATGTCTCAAAGGATAATAATTAACATCAGTCTTAGCGAAATTAGTTCGCATTTCAACGTTCTTATGTTACTCGGGCTAGGACGATTTAATGAAAACTGTCACAAGAAACGTGGTTTTAACATAGTGGACAAGAAAATAAGAGTATGTGTTGTATTGTAGAGTCAGGATATAATTTGTTTGGTCCCTGGAAGATAATGATATTCTCCACTAAAATGGTGTATAATTGAATATCATTGCTCTGATCTATCATGAAAAATTCTTGAATATAAAGGGTATAATGTGATAGTCAAATCACTTCCCCTAAAAAATTGCGTGTTTTAACCATTCGGCATCCAGTTATTGATTGGTTTGTATATTTCCAGTATTTCTACAATGATGTAACTTGGTTAACGAATAAAAGATTAAATTAGAGTAAATTAGAACAATAAGAGAGGACCTTCAAAGAAATGAAGATTCCATAACTGAACGAAAACAAATGAACTTAATTCCAATCAATATGCCAAAAAATGCTTCCGCGTTGGAGGACCTAAAAGTTAAGCAGATCAAAAACACGGCATCTAAGCGAGTTTTCGATGAAGGGAGAAAGGCTCAAAAATAATTGAAGTTATAATAATGGTCTTGCGATTCTTATCTTTGGAACGGTATATGAATAACCATCAATATGATCAGTTTTTCAGGCACAAACATCATTTTGGACAGTGCCGTGCGTTTTTATTGTTCATTCAAAATAAATAGGGGTGAATTTATCATATGAAACCATACACATTAGGATTTTTTACAGAAAAACTGATCGCATAATATTGTATTTCATGGTTTCAAACCCCTTAGTGAATTTTAATATGATTTCTAACAAAGGTTTCAAGAAACCGGCACATCTAAATAGCAATTTTGCGAACATGACTAATTATTTACTCGGAAACGGCGAGTTTAACAAAAAAAAAGTCCATCTTGCTTTTTTCTTTTAAACCACATTTTTTTAACTGCTGGAGCTATTGAACGTTCTAAAATTTGCAGTTTATTTGCATTCTTTATTTTTGCGAGGCCGGAAATGAAAATATGAAACCAATTCCGTTAACTCGGAATGAGGTGATTTTTGCATTTTTACTTCAATCGAAACTCACAGCACTATTCAAAAGTCATGGAAAAACTGATCATATTGATGGTTATCCATACCGGTCAAAATTTGTTACAATGCATATAGGGTGAATCGGTGGACGATGCTGATTCACCAGATTCCACCATTTTGTGGTAACGCAAAAACATTATTACCTATACAAAAACCCTGTATACAAACTTAATCTCAACAATGATATTGAATGACACACAGGCTCCACAAAAATATATAACTACCACAAGTAACACCGCGATTGGACTGGCAGATCCAATAATTCAAAACTCATATGCATATTATATCCTATCAGAAAGAGGGGAAAATAGTAGTATATATATGTATATCTCGATCAGTATATATATATTGTATTCTCCTGGAAGGCGATGACTATGCGAGAGTATATATGGAGAAGGATCTCCTATAACGTTGGGAGAATAGCTTCCACTTTCCGATGCATCAAGAATTCAAAGGCAGACACTCAGACACAATCGATCTGAAAGGATTCATACAGTTACCTAATTCGGCTAACTTCTATTCAATGTGATCGAATATATATGCTCACATAACGCACTTATTCCAATAGGTACGCGATGTCGGTATTGAAAGCTAAAAACTGGTGACTATGGAAATATTCCTAATTTTATAAGAAATCCTGATACACATAATTCAGTTATTATATATTTTGAGAAAACTTGATCAGACCCATCATTTTTCCGAAAAAAAAAAAAGAAAAAAATAGAGTCAATCTTGGTGACTTCTGATGTAGGTCGTGAACTCATATTATATTTTCCCTCGGGCTGAATATTCAACGTCTTTTTTTGCTTTCATGAAAGCTTCTATAGGTACAATAAGGTGATCATGAAAAAATCTATGAATTGGGAAATTCGTCTTGAATAAATTTTTGCTCTTTCTTAACCAATTCGCCCATACAACCAACCATACGTGTAATCTGGGTTTTGCTCTCGCTCTCGTTTTTCATTTCACTTACGCGCACTTCGAGCGAGAACAATAACCCGTTTTCAGCAGAATAGCGATCCCAGTCCAGCAAGCACTGGAAAACGAGGTTCCATGACTGGGAATATCGATTTACCAGGATTTACGCTACATGTGCGCCCTATTTCGCTCTCCACATGGTGCACATCTGTTGCTTCATATTGCTCATAGGGTTGATAGGGCGATACCTACTCCACGCAACAATTCACTATTTTAGGAAGCAATTTACAACATTCTTTTTGCATGTCTGCATCCCATAAATACCATATAAAACGTGCAAAACAATCGAGAAACGAGAAAACGGCAAACGCTTTGTAGAGTTAGGTTAGGTTAGGTTATCTCAACAGAATGATTAGAAATAAAAAACACTCCAAGCTTTCTGACATAAAGAAAACAAATTCGAAGTTAACCAAACTGTTTATTGAAACAATAAAGATACAGTGATGTTAAGTGTACATTTCAATAAAAATAAACGGAGACGCAAATGGGTCAAAACAAGCGTTGAAATGGTTGAAATCGTGCCAAGAAGCGAAGCAATGTTGGCGGAAAAAATGCGAGTGCTAAGAAGCCTACTTGCATCAAACTGTTGACAAAATAAAAAGGGCATGCAAAAATTAGTTCCACACAAAATTGAATCCAATAAAAGGGGCTGTCAGGCTGCCCTTCTTGCACGTACCGAACTGTTTATTTCGCGACTCGTCGACAGCCTCCTATGAAAGGATTTGGCTGGCTCTGTTTCTCCATCACTATCCGAAGAATCCTCTGCCGAGGGGTTCTTACCACTGCCGCCGTCCGACGCCATACTACGCTACCGACATGTTTATTTTTTTCACACTTTCACACTCCTTTATTTATAAATCGGGCCATCGCCGCACCGAGGCTGCGTGGGTTGCCTATTTCAGGTCGTGTCGTGTGTCGTGTCTGGCCACAGCACAGCCGTCTTCAACTATCAAGCCGTGCTGAGATAATGGCAACGTCGCACGAACGGAAACCGTCGGTCCCATTCGCGCCTAGCAATACAATGGTTTTTATATGAGCGCGAGCTTTGAATGTTTGGTTTAACGTAATTTTCTCGGATTATTTTGTGGAATAGGTAAAAATACACGAAAGTGAACTTACAGAGTGAAGAACGAGGAATAATGTGGTTGAATAATTCCCTTGGTCATGAACTGAAGCCGTAATTTTGAACATGAAAATAAAACTTATGGAGATATATCGAATTTTTCATTCATATCTGAGTGTTTGTCAGTTTGATCTGAGATATTTTTGAATCTAGATAGAATATTTTCAAGTTCATATCATGAGTGAGAATCCATTCAATTCATTGAATCCAAGTTTATTATCACCAAGAGAAACTTGGGCCTCCATCTCATTGAATATTATAACTTGAGAAACAATTTGTAAAGTATTCACATTATTGGGATAAAAAACATTTGCTTTCAAATCTGATTCATAAAAATACAATAAACATATTCCCTAACTAACTGTTCATAGTTGTGGATGAGGTCTGATTTTTCAAACTGTTCTATTATATTACTTTGGATATCTAAATATTTCTGACGTCTTTCATTTGGATCAGTTCTTTAGGGTTTGGCTGGTTTTGAAAAATATTTTGGAAAATTTGGAAAAATTGAATGAACTGCTGTTTCGACTAACTTTGGTGCTCATAACGAATTTTTCCAATTGATCCATCTGGCAGAGGGAATGTATCATACCTGATGATATATTTTTCAGTAAAATGAATTGCACATACTGCAGAACGTTGAGATGGTGTCCAGTTTTTTCGAGGTATTGCTGTTATCCACTTACTTCGCAATTTTTCCCCTTTCGGGAATAAAAAAACTGAGACATGATCCTTTCCCAGCTTTTTTCAGATCTGTAATTTGACTTACATCCTGGCACACAACAATTAGAAGGCATATTTCATAAGGAATAATGAATTACTTACTTATTTCCAGGAGTAAATTGAAAAAAACAACACAAATTCCCTTGCAAATACACCAGCACTAGTACACTTCACTATAACCTCCAATTTAACCGAGCATTTAACACAATTTTGAATGCACTTGCCACACATTTTCAGTCTCGAGTCGACTCCTAGATTGTTGCTAATACTTTTAAAATTATTTGATCTCAATAATACACCAATTAATAATTGAAAACTTTAACAAAACCTTCCATAAACTCTTTGTTTACTTCCTACACAATACACTTTGAATGGCCGACAGGTTCACGTTCGGTCGTTCGGACAATGTTGCCAAAGTTCATTCTTCATGGCTTTCAATTGAAGACGGCTGTGGATAGTTGAAGACGGCTGTGGTCTGGCCGACAAGCGGCGCTTCCGCAAATCTGCACGTATTGTGATGTCTGTTGGTTGGTCCATGTCTCTTCGCTGGTTGGTCGTCGGACTCTGTCCAAAAGTCTGTCTACAGATGCAAAGAGAGAGTGTCGACACGGCCACCATTTTCTGATGTTTGAATTGAAATAACACCAACTATAATTTTCGGATATTTTGAACAGCTCACCTTCACTCCACTCATAATAATTTCAAAACGATTTCGAGAACTGGTTTTACTCCAAAGAATGATGGAAATCTTTGACCATGCTACCATCTTGCGTATTGATGATGGAACTGCAAGGAATGAGGATGGAATGGGAAACTGGCTGTCTCTATTGTCTTATAGATGGCGCAAATGTTTGTCACTTATGAAGATTGGTAGAACTGATGATTATTTCTGTCACATATTAGTTTTTGTTCTGCAGTTGGTGGTACTGCTGCAGAAGTGACGGGACGGTCAGTGTCAGACGTCAGAGTGACATTATTTTATTATTATTAGTGGATGTTTGTTGTTTGCAGGTTTTTGCTGACTTCTAAAAGAATGGTTGATAGCTTTTGGTATTAATTTTCAGCATTTATTCAAGATGACAAGGGACGACAAACTGTTCTTCCATAAAACAGTATTGCATTTGGCAAGAGCACTAGCGAATATTAAATCTGTTCCTTGGGCGAAAGTGGGTATATGTATTCAATTATCTCAATTATATTAACATTTCTAACATTGAAAATCATTATTTGTCGACTTTGTCCCATGAAATTATTTCGATTTCAGGTTCAAACGTTGTTCTCATTATGTCCTTCAGATTTACAAAATGGAATGTTCCTTATAAACTGTAGACAACAAGATGCAGTCATTGCCTTGGGAGTATATTTTTTAGAATCCGGCCTTCAACACAAGGCAGAAATTGTACCCTACTTACTCAATCTTGCCAAATCTCTGGAGAAGGCACATTGGCAGGATGAAGTCAAGTTAAACTCAACAGATCGTTAAGTGCTTCAATATTATCCATTCAATTTTATAAAATTAAAGTGTTATTAGGTATTCCAATTGCTGAAAAATTCAGCTTCTGTCTGCATACTCTTCTCTCTGATATTGCTGTAAGGTGTGAAGACTTGAGAAAGGAAATTATAGACACTCAAGTAGAATGCATGGTATCCCTGACAAACCATGTCTTGAAAATCCAAGATCCAAACAACAGAAACAGTTCTACCAAATTGTTTCTATGCAAAACCATCTTGCCAGTTCTTCTAGGTCTAGCAAGGGCTATGGGAAGATTTTGTGCCAGTGATCCACCTCTTCATTGCAGACTCTTTCCAAAACCAGAGCCCCCTTTGAGTCAGGCACAAGCTAAAGATCAAAATGCTTACAAGAGAAGTTTCAGCAGCTTTCGCAATATTATTCCAAGGAGTTTGTCTGGTAATTTACATGCAGCTGTTGATATTCTAGCTGTTACTGCGGTAATGTTTCCATTTGAAGCTTAGGAGGAATTGTTTCATGCTGCTGTTTATTTCAGGGTGGATATGATACAACAGACATAGCATTCATCTCTAATTCTCTGAAACGAGGTGGATATGTCCATCACACTATGGGATATTATGACCCACAAATTTATTTTTTCTCCAAATTTGGGTCAAGTTTCAACCAATTTCCACATTTGAGAATCAATGAGACTAATGATAAAAGAGCCAATATAATTTTTCCTCAAGAACATTTGTACACTATTTTAGCACTTAGCAAAAAACTTCTTACTAAAGATATGCTTATGCTCATTGATGAACAGTCAGTGGAAGTTAATGCAATTGGAAAAATTCTTATATTCCCCTATAAAACTTTTTCAGAAACTATCAATTTGGTAATGGTTACACTCATGAGAGAGTTATTGCAACCACAAAAAGATTTACCAGTGCCATTCACAAAAGATGTACAGGAATTTGTCAAAGGTATATGATATAATATGTGTATAATAATTATTTCCCCCAAAGTTCATTTTTACCTACCTTATTCCATTGATTTATAAGCATAATATTTCAATCAATGCTCATAGATTTTTATTGATATTTTTTAGGTTTGTATTTGAGTGGACAAACTGAACTTCAAAGTAGAAACCATGATGCTAGTGAAAAGGAAGATAGGGAGAGCAATTATGCTCTTGTCAATAAGTTCAAAGTTAATGTTATGGCAAATGCTGCCTGTGTTGATTTACTGGTATGGGCAATAGGAGATGAAACAGGTGGGTTCATCTTTAATATTGTCATATCATACTCAATGACATACTTATTCAACTCACAAAACTCTCAATAAACCCCAACTTCTTGATAAAAAATACTGATTACTAGGGAAATGTATGTTGCAAATTTTTCTATATCTATATCTGAGTCCTGGTTATCTTAAGTTTACATATGCTGATTTTATTTTTCATGTTATATCCTAATGATTTTTTCATTTTATTTCAGTTGACTCAGAGTATAATTTTTCAACTTTACTTCAGTTCATAATGATAGTCTTAGGTGGCCTAGGTGAAGTTTTCAACTTATACTTTTTGATCACTGTGAGATTGTCCTGAGAGTGGTTTTTGAATTCATTTTTGAGAGTCCCATCAGTATTTGTTTTTTTTTTCATTCTGTTTCTTAGTGCAAAATATAAAGATATAGTTATTTATTATACAAGGGAAAAACTAGTAGATTTTAGCTCCAGGTTGTATTGTCTCCAGATGCATAGTGGAGGGAGACAAGAAATCATGAGCTAAAATTGAATATTCTTCCATGTATAATACACTATTTTTGTCTGTGACAGGAGAAAGGACAAATGATAATGGACTTACAGTTCTTTTCTTTCTCTGAGAAGGTCTTATAGGCTTATTAACAAAGTTATTTTTTCATTATTCAGATAATATTTGGTTAGGAATTGAATTTTGAAAGTATTTCTCTGTTTCATTTTGATTGGTTTTTATTTGAGTTAGATATGTTTTGTTATTTTCTGATATGAAATTCTTTGTTTGCCATTTTACAGTTGTTGATATATTTTGAATGATGATATATTTACCTATAGGTATATAATTATGTACTTCCTAACAGAGCCAATTCTGTTGGGAAGTTATTTGTTCAATAAATATAATTCAATGAGTTGTTCAATAAATATAAAAATATAATATTTTTCTGAACTAGTACAACAAAAGCTACCAACAGTGTATATATATCCGGTAAGAAATTACTCACTTTCCTCCCGTGGAAAAAAAGTAATTTATGAAAATTTACATTTTATAACCTGTCAACAGAGATGAAATGTCAAACTTTTTTCCTGTCCCAGAAAAATAGTTATCTATATACCAAGGTAGTAAAGAATCTACTGTAGAAGTCCATATTATCTCAAAGTGGTGTGAAGTAGTTGTAATAGCAATATTCTTTTTACCTTGTTTCATTCTCATATAATAAAACCCTTCAAATTGACTCCACAATGTTTAACTTCAAATTCATGAAGGGGGGAAACATGTTTGGGACCCAAAAGGTGTCCATCATCATCCCAAAGAAATTATTGTGGAAAGAAAAAGGGAAAAACTTGGTTATAATATCAATATACTTAAGAAATTTCTGTTGGTAGTTTACATAACATTAATGAAAAGGAATGGACAGGTATTTTTGACTGTAACCCGTCAGACAGTCTAGATATTTAGCCGGAGGGGTATAAGGACATGCTAATATTATTCTTTACTACCAAGGTGTACCTATATTGCATTTTTTTTCCACCACAAGCAATATATTTCAATCACTATAGTTCTGTGAAACTGAAATATGGACCTATATTGTCACTATGAAAGCACTTCTTTTCTATTCTTATAAAAATCTAGTTGCCATGGCTATGACCATGACAGCATATTATGAAAAGGCTATTTAATGAATACATACTAGATTCGAGTGCCATTCCTCGCATAAGTACAGGGAATTCGGGTTAACTATATCAGAGGTGGCGATGTCTTTATTGACTACACCTTTTTCAATTGTAATTCAGAATGCATAACATGTAATTCAGATTGCATAACATGTAATTCAGATTAGTGAAATGTAATTCAGAAAGTGTAACTTGTAATTCAGAATAGTCAATTGTAATTCATAAAGCGTAATTTGTAATTCAGAAAGCATCACTTGTAATTCATAAATACTATGGAATCATAAGTGATACTTTCTGAATTACAAGTTATGCTTTCTGAATTACAATTGACGGTTTCTGAATTACAAGTTACACTTTCTGAATTACAATTTACTAATCTGAATTTCAAGTTATACTTTCTGAATTACAATTGACTATTCTGAATTACAACTTATACTTTCTGAATTACATCTTATACTTTCTGAATTACAATTGAAAAAGGTGTAGTGGTTCAAAAAATGACGAAAACTACCTTGGTAGAAAAATCATAGGTAAATAATGGTAGTTTTTAGAGCTAGTGGTGGAAAAAAACAACTTGCACCTTCTTCAAATTATGATTATTTTGACATATGAAGGGGATACATTAGGTTCAAATAGACAAAAAAAGTTTTTTTTATTTTCATGTGAGAAGGAAGTAGATGTGATGTTTTAGTTCTTAGATTTTTGGAAGTCAAATGACATACACTGCAGTTGAAATGCTTTGTCACTTTTGGAAATTTTATAATTTTGTTGAGCACTGTTTTCAAAATACTTTGAACTTTTTTTCATCTAAAATTAGTGAATGGATATTGGATATAACTGTGAAAAATCAATCAAATTGCAAGATATGAATATTTAATAAAAAAGGTTTTGAAAATTTCAGATTTATCTCTGCGTTTCAGGGAACTGATGAAAAAGCAAGTTTTTTTTTGCTGAATGGTAGCCGAAATACTGTGAATTAATTAAAACTTTCTGATAAACATCGATTAACTACATTGTAATAGCAGCTTTCTCAATAATAAAACACCTATTATTATTAACCTGACCACTTTCAATACTGTTGACAATATAAATTTTCATGTGTTTGAATTTTGAGACTATTTTTGGTCATTATGACTTTCCAAGAATCCTTATTCAGCCCATTTATTTATTTGTTTTTCATACTCATTATAGTGGCGTACTGAGTGCATATTCAATAACCCTGTTTTCATTTTTTCACAACTCAAATGCACTTTGACAATTTGAGTGTTTTTTTTGCTTGAGTGACCGATTTCAAAAATTCCACATTTCAATAATCTATGAATACATTTCAGGAGCTGATAGTTTGTGTGGACGACTAACGGAAAAAATAAACTCAAATCACGGCTACAGACTTGTACTGGCACATATGCCCTTACTGATGGTTTGTCTTGAAGGTTTGGGCAAACTAGCACAGAAATTTCCGAATATTGCCTCCACATCCATATATTGTTTGAGAGATTTTCTGATCACTCCTTCTCCGATTTTATCGAAATTGCATAGGCAGGCGAATGACAAAGGAAATAAAGAAAACTTGAAGATAACAGGTTTGGTCCTTTCATAGAAGATCTCAAATCATTGGGGAAATTATATTTTTCAGTTCTGAGACCCTTTTGGTTCTCTGGATTGAAAAACGTAATTTCACATCATGGTTTTCTTGTGTCTACAAATTTATTTTTGAGTATATTTCTTCTTAGCTCAAGGCAACGAATTGAAAGCTGAAACATCAAAAACAATAACACCAGTACAGTCTGCTTTTGAAAAATTGAGGGATGCTGCAATAGAAAATTTGTGTTATGCACTGAGTGCTGCTCATACTCTTGATCCTGATTGTGTTAGGGCTCTAGTTGCATCAGTGTCCAACCGATTATTCACTGCAGAAAAAAGTGATAGGTAAGATTTTCTGGTCTACCTAACAACAATTTCATGTATTTTTTAAGTGACATTAAGTTTTGGTGATTTTTATTGGACTTGAAGTATTGATTCCATTTCGAAATGGATAATAGACCTGTTCACGGAAAAATGAATAGAACACTGTTTTATTTAATTGTTTGTGCTCTTCTCAAAGTTTGAAGCTTTTTTGGGTTCAATATTGTTTTACAGATCTGGACTTATCTCTGAATATAATAAAACTTTTTTATGTTGAAAAAGGTAGCAGATTTGTTCCCAAAACGTATCAGGTTCAAAAATTTGCTTGTATACAGGGTATGCCACGACGACCTTACACTATCTCTATATCGAGAATCAGTCGGGAGAAATATTTTCAGCAATGCAGTGCTGCCGCTTCTATCAAAAAGTAGCAACAACTTTGTTATTCCAAATAGAATACCCTGTATTTTATTGCATTTTTAGATTCTCCCTGAAGAGCTGATTTCATCCATATATCACATTTGGGGTCTACCGGAAATGATAACAGAGATATGGAGTGTTCAAAATCGAGATTTTTCAACTTTAGGATTTGTTGGTGTCGAAACTATTTATCATCGGCCAAAACGGCCAAATCGGAACAGATACGGGGTGATCAGAATTTTGAATCTTGAACCACCCTGTATCTGTTCTGATTAAATATCAGTAAATAGTGAATTGAAAGTTGAGATTGGGACATGTGAGCCATTCTGGCTGATAATGAATAATTTCGACTCAAAAATAAACCTAAAGTTCGAAATCTCGATTTTGAACACCCTATATCTCTGTAATCTTTTTCGATAGACCCCAAGTGTGATACATCGATAAAATCCTCTTCAGGAAAAATCTAAAAAAAAATGCGACAAGATGCAGGGTGTTCTATTTGAAATATCAATGTTGCTAATAATTTCTAGTAGAAGCGGCAACACTGCATTGTCGAAAACATTTCAAATGCAGAGAGCGTATTCTAAAATATAAGCATGCCCATTTTCATGGATTTCTCCCTACCAATCCTAGATATAAAGATAGTGTAAGCCCTGTATAAGAATAACCTAAGATAGGAATTCAATTTTTTTTATAAAAACCAATATTTCGGAAACCGTCAGGTTTTTACTGAGGACAAGTTGTGATTTTCTGATAGGTTATGAACTTGTTTATCACCAGCTAGAATATGATCCATGGTTAATCGGACACCCTGTATATATCTTCTGAATTCTGAATAGTGTGCACAAGATAAGGATGAACAGCATGGGAATGTTCGAAACGAAAAGTTGTAGGGAAAGAGTGCCTTTGATCTTTTGAAACTTTTCAAATAACTTCAGAAAAAAATCAAAACCATTTTTCAAATATTTTCAAGTCTTCATTTATCATATTCTCTAAATTTGAAGGATTCTTGCTTTCATATAAAAGTACTGTATCATGTGCATACATGGTATATTTACTCGCTAGACCAATTTCACTGATATTTTGAACATAAAGTAAATATAGCATAGGTCCTAAAACAGAGCCTTGTAGAACACCCTTATCAATTAATAGTTGATTTGACACAGAGTTGGTTGATTTCGTATTGATTGTCCTATTTTCAAGATATGAATTCAGAATATTTCTCACAGTGCTTCTGAGTCCCATTGTTTCTAAGTTTTCTAAAAGTGTTGTATGATCAACTTTGTCAAAAGCCTTTTTGAGATCAATGAAAATAGCTACCACATAATTTCCTGAATCAAGTCCTTCCTGTTTCCTTGAGAACGAAATTGATTAGAATCAAAGCTATATTTTTTGTTGATGAATTCTACAATGCGTTTCTTGAGAATTTTTCCAAAAATTTCAGAAAATATGCTTATTAAAGCTATTGGTCTATAGTTAGTTGGATCCTGAGCATCTCCATTTTTGTAAATAGATCTTACTGATGCATGTTTCAATTCGTGTAGGAAACTTTCTTTTATGAAAGATTCATTGATCAATTTTGATATTGGTGTAGCTAAAATGTTTCTCAATTCAAATATGTCTTTAGTAATCAAACCTACTGGATCAGGACATGTCTTTTTTAAATCATTAAGTATAGAAATGATTTCGCTTTCATCAGTGGGAAACAAAAGCATTGTGGAATCATTATATTGTGGACAGACATTTTGACGTGGAAGATTATTATAATACGATATTATTTCCTTTGCTATATTCTCACCAATACTCGAAAAATGATAATTCATAATTTTGGCTATTTCTAGATCATTATTGACAAAGTTACCATTAATTTTTATCGATTCAATATCACTATTTCTGTTTGATTTTGTGGAACCTCTCAAACAATAGTTTATAGCATCCCAAAGTTTTCTTCCCTCTTCCAGCGAATCGACCCTGATTTCCACCAACATCGTAATAATGCTGGGCCACGTGGCCATATCGATGAAAGGCACCCCGAAAACCACCGATACGATCCTGCACTTTTTCCAGCAGAGGTTCTGCCGGGTACCCTCCGCCCTCGACACCCTCATAGTCGACCAGCTGGGCTGCATGATAATCGCCCAGTGCGAGCCCCACGTCTACGAGGTGATCATGAAGATGTTCACGATGATAACTGTCGAGAGCGGCAGCACCGCCTACGGAAGTAATGTCAACGATAAGGCTCAGTATAGGTAAAAAATGCAGTTTCTACAGACTTTTTCGATAGTATGTTCTTTGAATCTAGAACGTCGAAATCGTCTCGTTTGCCCAATGTATATTATCGGGAGCGTGTTGGCGCTGCCTACCATCATCTAAGTTCTTTTTGATTCAAATGAGGTTTATTTTTAAGGCACGTATCTCGACCGGTCATGAATGCTTTGGCAAATATCGCTGACAATCTACAGGGAGAAGCCCAAATGATTGAACTACTAGGCCGTTTGCTAGAACTGTTTGTACAGTTGGGTTTAGAAGGGAAAAGGGCTAGCGACAAAACTCCAGGTGAATATTGTACTTTTGTGAAAAAAGAGATACACTGCTTCTAAAAAAATTGTTCAACTCAAAATTTTATCTGTTTCCGATGGTTCAACGGGTGATTGAATGGGCTGCATTGGGAACTCATCTTAATGATACCTGTATTGAATTTTTTTTTCTATAGACAGGTTATAAAACGTCACTTCTGATAAACTACTTTTTTCCCACGGGAAAAAAGGAAGTCCTTTTTTTTTCGGATATATATCACTTATATGTATATACACTGTGAATGGCTTTTGTTGTGCTGCAGTTCCGAAAAATAAGCCAATAACAACGTCTCCAAGAAAAAACTGAGAGTCTATTTATCTTCCACTTCACGCTTACGTAAGTTACTTAACACAAAGTTCGCAATTTTTTTAAATCAAAACAGAATTAAACTGACAGATATTTGATTACTTCAAATGAATGATAAAGATGACTGCAACGCAGGCGTCATTACTGTTAAAATCTTCAAATTTCACGTTGATAATTTTCTGAATTTAATATAATGTAATATCTTCTCAATATTAATCCCTGATTTTTCCTGGACTTAGAAAAAAATAGTGTATTATAGACGGGAAAAATATTAGATTTTAGCTCACGGTTTTTTGACAACACAACCTGGAGATGAAATCTACTACTTTTTTCCCTTGTATAATAAATAACTATTTTAAGAGTGCAAGAATGAAATGTAATATGTTCTTGTTTCATTCAAGGGGCTTTAAAAGCTTCAAGTTCGGCAGGAAATTTAGGCGTACTGATACCTGTGATAGCTGTTTTACTTCGTCGGTTGCCTCCTATCAGGAATCCAAAACCTCGAATCCATAAATTGTTCAGGGATTTTTGGTTGTATTGTGTAATCATGGGATTCACTGCTTCAGATTCAGGTAAAAATAAATTCGAAAATGGAAAGATAATACAATCACCGGCAAAAAATACCGACCAGAAAAAAGTTATGCTAGATTGATCGCCCTATAATTTTTTAAATCCTTGTTCGGTTTTGATGGGGAATTCCGACAAAATTGTAAATTTATGTTTCGGAATGTAACCCTCAAAGTTTTGGTCGAAATTCCACCGAAATCGGCCAAGATTCATTATTCCAGATTATTTGGGATTTTCTCTCCTTTCAATAAAATAAAAATATGACTATACCTACAGACATTATTTAAGATTCAAATAAGTTTTATTTGTCGAGGTGGTTGAAATCCTTTACAATACATATACATGCAGGTTAAAATACACATTATATATCAATCATATAAGCTCCGTCAATATCAGAACGTTACGTCATTAAAATATTCTATCAAATTATAATAGGTTTTAGATGCCAGCCTTTCATGAAGTTTTTTTCTAAATGTTTTAAGATAATCCAAGTTCTTCAATTCTACAAGTAGTCTACTACACATTTTGACACCATTGTAAATTATTGAGTCTTTAATCAGAGTGGATTTAGGACTGCCTAATGATTCGATGCATTTCGTGTAGTGCGATTGTTTATTTTTGTATGAAGATTTATTTTTGTAAATGAGACATGTAGCTTCTAAAACGTAGTTTGAGGTTAGTGACAATATTCCGTGTCTCAGAAAAACAGGTTTGCAGGAACTCAGCCTATTCACTTGGCACAAATACTGCACCGTCCGTTTTTGCAGCAAAAATACACTCTCAAAGAATCCCAGAACTGAATTGCGTACCTCAAGTTTGACTATGAGAGCAAAGTAAACATTTTTTGCCGCAGCATAACCTAAGTAATTCGCTGTAGATCTGAGGGCAAAATATCCTGATGCTAATTTTTGTTCAAGATGTTAATGCGACTTGTGAATTTCAAATTGGTATCGATGTTGAGTCCCAAGAATTTTATATTGCTATCAGATGGTATGGAGTCAGTCCCTATTTCTATATCAGGAAGAAGACATTTGAATGTGATTAATTTTGTTTCTTGAAATGTAAACATAGAAAGTTTGCATCGCCCCACAATTAGATTTTTTGTAGGTCTCTTGAAACATTTTCACGAAGCAAATTCACATCTTCAGAGTGCCATAGAATGGTAATGTCGTTGGCAAATAATGTGAAGGAACCAGATATATCTAAGAGGGAGAGATCGTTAATATACAGGAGAAAAATATATGGAGCTGAAACTGCACCTTGAGGTACTCCCCAAGTAACTTTTAGTAGTCTGGATGGGTCAGTTTTAACACGTTGGTTTCTTCCTGACAAATATGATTTCATCCACTTCAATGCCATGTCTCTGATATCATAGTGAGAGAGTTTATGCAGTAATAATGTGTGATTGACACAATCGAAAGCTTTAGTCATATCACAGAATACTGCCGCCACGGTTTCTGGTTCCTTTCCGCATAGTCTGCAGCTTGGGTAGCCATTATACAGACCGATTCTGGCGCAATGCCAGTCATGACAGTTACAGACCGATCAATTTGGTCGAATTTTTTCGTGGCCGGTCTTTTTGCCGGTGATAGTATGATAAAAATGTATGCAGAAGGCCTTCAGATGTCGAATTCAGTTTCTTCTTTATATAAAAATCACACAGGTTTGTGGCCGCAAGAATGGTACGAAGGCGTGAAAGAAATAGCTGTGAAGTCTCCCTCTCTGGTATCTCCTACTTCCAGCAGGTCCGAGATGAGGGAGCTGCAGTACACGAGCGCCGTCAGAAATGACAGCGTGTCCGTCAACGATCTGCAGGGGTTGCGGACGCAGATCCTGGACCTGCTGAAGCATCCGCCGGAAGTGACGGCGTACGTCAACAAGCTGTCGTTCGCGCAGTGCACGTTCCTGTTGAGCGTGTATTGGGTCGAAACGTTGAGGTAGGTCAACAAAATGACAAAATATTCAGGGTTTATTGAAAAATACAGAAGTGTTGCGATCTCTTTGAGGTTAGGTTGCTTGAGGTTCGTTGAAAACCATTATTCAGAGGTTATCCCAGACAACACAAGATATTCCGTGCTATAAGATTTTCGTGCTTCTGTATTCACTAAAAGCAGTTGATCTGAGCGGAGCAATAACCATGAACCTAAAAAAGACCAAAAGTTGAACGATTGCGTCATCATCACGATCATTTCAGGATCCAACATTCGGGAGAACCTAGCCTAGTCCCGATAATATCGGACTACCTCTGCGACTCGGCTCTGCAAAAGGACAAGGCGGGCATGTGGAACTGCGTGTCCTCGGTCGGCGAGAGGGTGTTCGAAAGGTTTGTTTTACTTATCCTTCTATAAACCCTTGACTCAGCTCGTGGTTCTCTCTCTGTAAAATTACAGTCGTCAGTTGACTTTCTATTCGCGATAGAGAATAGCACGTCGCCCCACCTGAAGGAAACAGCTTGAACACTTCTGAGCGGTTTGTTTCGATGATGCGACCAATGAGCACAAACAAATAACAAATGTGAACCAATGAAAACAAAGTAAATAGGCCGCTTTGCCAGGTTTCAAGAACTCCGCTTATTTTCTATCGCGAATACTATGGCTATTCGCGAGATTCACGAAGTGGGCGACATCTAGGTTACATAATACGAACTTCAAACTGGGGGAAAACAAACTGTTGTCTATGGATGAAGTGCATAGACTACATTGCATTCAGCTTGTTGTAGCTGTAGTCAAACTTGTCAATGACATAAAGTATTAGCACTGTTGGTAGTGATGATGGTTGAGTTGGTTATATTTTTTACACTATTACATTTTTATCAGTTTAGTGAACAGTGAACGGGTGTAGAATTGGAGATAGTTCAAACAATTCAAACTAATTATGACGAGCAAATAATTTGACATATAAATGAACAGCTAACAATACCCAGATTGTCCTGCTTTGCAGGAACAAATACAAATCCATTGTTCTACAGGAGTTCCTCTGGACCCCAACTTCAATTTTACTTCATGTGGGGAAGATTTCATCGCCGAAGTTTGTAGACAAAGTGCAAAAATGTGCCCTTTGTTGAAGTCTTCTGCCCCACACAAAATTACATGATTAGCATGGAGAACTGCTTCTCCTTCCACTACTGGTCGGCTTTTTCCATCTGAATAGAGCAAAATATCTGCCAAAAGAACATCTACAATAGGCGTTTTCGATCGAATATTGACAATTAATGTCAAGAAATGTAAAAACTTATCACTCTCATCAGTATACAGTACACAAGCTAATGGCACTAATTGGATTGAGTGAGGATTGAGTTTGTTTTCCCCCAGTTTTGACGTGGCTTTGACATGGAACGATGAAAACCGAGCGCCACCTGGTAACATTGATTCCCGCGAATATCCCGAATTCAACTGACAGTACTGAATCTGCTGATTTTTCATTTCGAAATCAAAAAAATTCGGTCATGAGTTTCGCACCTATCTCTTTTAGAAATCTTGTTTTCCATACCTCGAAACGATTTGAAAGATCAAATTACCGGTAGGTACCAAATTTCGTGATTCTAGAGGATCAATGGAAATAAAGATAATTGCTTTCAGGGATCAACCTTCAAAGTGCAGTACCACCCTTTAGGACATTTTCGGACATATGTTGATACATTTTCACAATTTCTATACAGTCAATAATGATGGAAATAAGTAGATGGTGCGCGTACTCGGCCATTTTTACGTATTGAAAACTTGAGAAAAATCACTCGACCGCCTACTATGATTTCTCGACGTCACTTCGAGCGAGACGTTGATTCTACATTTTTCCGCTAGATGGTGATGCTGCTATTGCTGCTGTGACGAGTGGAATTAAAATGGAAAATGGCATTTTAGGTACGCGGAACATATGTAACAGTGGGATTATTTGACTCTGAATTCGAAAAATCTGCGGCAATTTAAAAATTGACAGATGTCATAATTGTGCAATGTCGCCATCTATCCGAAAACCGCTGAAAACATTGTTCTAGGGACTCTCGAGAGGTCGAGAAGAAAAGCGCACGATCGTTTACACGTCTTCCATTGGCAGGAACTAGTGGAGTGTTTCTCCACTGAGTGTATGTTCTTCTTTGTTTAACACATGCGAGTAAGAAGGAGACATATACATTTAGTGCAGAAACACTCCACCAGTTCGTGCCAATGGAATTCGCTATTGTTTCAACAAGGTTCCTCGAGGTGATGAAAGACAGGCCGAAGAACGAGGCCCGAGAGGCTGATCTGGAGCAGCACGCGCAGTTCCTGCTGGTGAACTTCAATCACCAGCACAAGCAGATCCGCCGGGTGGCCGACAAGTTCTTGGCCAGTTTGGTGGACAGATTTCCGCATCTGTTGTGGAGCAGAAGGTAATGAAAATCGTCTGCCTTCATGTTCGTTGAATGATTTTATTTTGTTACCCAGTCTGAATCTGTATTCGAAAAAAAAAACTCATCTGATGTTCCTGTATATGGTGGTTGAATTATTTACCTGTTTGCCCAACATATGTATATCTCACAAAAAGACCTTTGCACAAGGTTGGTAGAACTGATGACTATTTTGTAGAGGAAGGTTGCCTCGATCGCACCCCGCGAGTGACCTTGAGTAACTCATGACGTAATAGGCCCTTTCTTTTGCACGAAAAGTGTAGCACTCTCGTACACTTCGTGTATGATATGTACGCCGGCGATTGGCCGGCCAATGACGGCTAAATGGACTGTCTGACGGGTTATACATGACTGTTCATTCAGCGAAAATCTCCAAATCGCCCTGTAATGAAATTTTGAAGGGACGGCAAGTGGCGTCATCTATTTCCTGTGTCAAATGAGCTATTCAACATAACCTGCATTATTTGTTGACAAATTTTCTCAGCCTGTCACTCATTGTCACTCGAGATTGGAGAGCTTTGTTCGAGATACCAAGTAAAACTTTGAAAAGGCCAACAAAATGAAGTGGTTAGGAGTGTTCATGCCAAATAACGCTATGCATAAATAATAATGCCATTCAAGTGGAAATCATCTTCGTCAATCCGTGAATAGGTAAGGACATGTTCAATTATTTCATTGATTGAATTTTTAACTGCCTAATAAGAGCCATGGTAGCCCTAATAACCAGATACTGCTGTATTCTCAAAGTGAAATGTACTTCAACATTTCATATTGTTTCACAAAATCTGTGATCTCAAGTGATATTTCTTAATTTGTATTTTCAGGAAGATACTGAATTTTCTCAACACAATGTTGAAGCAGCTCTTTATGAGGTTTGATTGAATGATGACTGGAGACATTCAATTCTGATGATGCAATCTATGCATAACCAGAATATTTACTATATGGTGAGCTTTGTGAACAGTTGTTTGATTAGGTGAGGGTTCAGAAAAATAATCAGGCATTTTAACTACAATATCAGATATCTCTATGAATAGCAAATTAAATATCAATTTATCATTTCATACTTATATATTTCATATCAGATATACAGATAGATTGTATTGCAAAATTGATAGAACTATGCCAGCATCAAAATCATTAAATGTTCTATAGCAACATTTCTTTATAGGTTCTGGGGATGGCAACACAATGAATATAAAACGGCTTGGATATGGAATCTTGACTTTGGAGGATGAAGCTAGGTTACCTGGTGATCCTTTGGACACTGGAAATAAAAGAGGAAGATGATATATTATTGTATATCCCACAATTTCTATTATCTGCTCAGAAATCAGCTGAGAAGAATCATGTTTTGAGTTCAAATATAAGCTCATCATCAGCTAATTTAATGGAAAAAGAAATTGTTTGTTATGGTGACTGTCTATGGAATAAAATTATTATATTACTTGAATAAATGCTTTCTATACATATCATCTATCTATCCATCAATCCATATTTTTCAACCATTTTCAAAACTTTGTGGAGACAGAAAGTTATATGCATTTCAAAAGTTGAGTTTGCACTCTTTTCATCTTTTTAGATCTACTTGGGGAAGCTATAGTTAGTGGGCTATTATCAGTGACAACCAGAGATTAGTCAACCACAGATACCTTATTTCACATACCATCTCATACTTCTATCAAGAAAACAAGAAAGCTATACAGGATCTCATTGATAGATCGGCATGCATAATACATAAACTTAGGCCAAATAATTAATTTAAATTTTTTTGTGACAAAATCATCACAGCAGTGAAAAACATTTTTGAAAATCTCTGATAGTATCATTATTCTGTGATATTTGCCAGGAAGCAAGAACACAAAATACCTCAAATTGTAGTTGTGGCACTAGAAAAAACTCCAGATGTTGGCCTAGACTGATGATTCTCTGGGATTCAAAGAGCATACCTTAAATTCCATTCCTCTTTCATTCTTGGTGTTGCTTTTTGGGATGCCCATCCTGTAGGCATATAGTAATTTAAGTTTGAATACGTTGCATTGATGGCTTGAACCATCAGGCTCACATGAAACAGTTTTCAACAATACTACTCCTACCCTACCTAGCTACGCAACAACAATGCAGACTAAACATACCTTGAAAATTATGATAAGCGATCCTTTCTGAATGTAATCCCGATCCTGATAAGTCGCCATATGTAGTGCTATTGATCATCACTCTATAGTGTCTTCCAAAAGCATTGACACAAACACCAGAATTAACACCAGTGTTCTAATGGTGGAATCGAGGCTGAAATTGAAAATCATCAGAAAAGTGTTCATGAAAAATCATATTCTTACCAATGCCTTCCAAAATATAATTCGACCATTCTTGCTGTGGAGTTTATCACTGGGTATGAACAATAAACTGAATAAATAAACTACCAGAACTAAACACAAAGAAGAATGCTTGATTGAATGAAAATCCGAAAAAGTGAAGGAATTTATCCATATTCAACAGAACACATCAGGGACCTGACAGTGACACAGTTTTGACACTTGATAAAATAATAATAATTCAATATAACCTATGTTATTGGAAAACAACCGAATGAGAGCTAAACAAATGACTTCTCCGCAAAGGACGGCAAGTAAACCCCTCTGGTGGAGAATACACTGAACTGAGTGATTGGACAGTCATGTAGTACTCGTCAGACAGTCCATTTAGCCGTCATTGGGCCGGCGCATGTATTGAGTTGACAGTTGTCAGTATTTTCGAATATTTGAACCATTTTGAACTTAAAAATGTAAAAATGATAATTTGTTCGGTCACTTCTTGTTAAAATTCGTACAAGTGTAATGAGACTAGTGAATTTAGTTTGTGTTTCCATTAATTTCCATAAGATGAGTCTATTCGTGAGAAATATGGATTCAATTTTGGCGAATATGTTCTGCCCATTTCGATGCCGAGGATTTTGAACGGCACAAGCAGAATTGCTAAATCACACACCAAAGAGATGAAAACTCAAGGTAGGAATCCCATCACTCATACCAAATACAACAAGAGAAACACCATAAGTATTCAAGTTTGGAAAAATGATCAGAACCAGACCAGTTGTGAATGTTGAGATTCTTGCTGAACAGGTAAAATGGACATCAGAGGATAGCACATGCATATTCACGTTGAGATAATTGAGCAAGAGTACGTTACCCAACGAAGAGGAGCTATGTTTATATGAGAGATTCCTTGAACTATCCTTCATTATAGGTTCACTTATAATAGTAGTGTTATTTTTCATTAATTTTGTTCAGAATCATATTTTGATATTTTTTTATGCTCAAATACTTCGATCAATTGCTCTGTTTTTGACTACAATATGATCAAACAATGAAATACTATTTCCTCTTGTATTTTCTATAGGTATCTAGGAAAGTTTGTCAACTTTTCAGAATACAGAGTTATATTTATAAAATTGATCTGTTGTGTACGAATATTGGTCCACTGCTACTTCTGGATCATCATTTGATTATTCTTATATTTTCTGTAGTTTCTTGTTCACATATTATCTGATTTGCAGGATATTTATAGGATGAGTAGGTTCATAATCAATGCATAAGTAATCACTAGCTCCATACCTCAAAACACACATACCTGGTACCACGACCTGGTAAATAGCCCCTGGAACAAAATTTCAGATAGGTATTCCTCTCTGTACTACTGATCCATCCAAAATTGCCTTCTCATTTCGAAGATTGAAGGTATTATACAGAAGTATATGTAAATATCCATATTTTATAATGGTACTTACTTATAATTATATACAATAAATTAATATAAATATGCTGAGCAGACCAAAAAGTTTGTATCATGTTTGTATACTCTATTTGGTAAACATTTCATGACATGTCGCTTTAAGGTTGACAACTTGTCGTCTTACTGCCTGTGACGTCACGAGTGACCGTTTCCCCCCTTGCCGCACTATCGATCGAGGCAACCTTCCTATACAAATTATAATCAGTTCTACCAACCTTGCCTTTGCATACTTATGATTGTTCGTCTTTTCGAAGCTATCAGTTCAATTTTTTTAAGCTTTCCTAGATTTGCAATAATTTGCCATCAGCGTCATTTTTCCTACTATCATCGACAGTAATGACAGTTAAATTTGATGATTGCCAATTTTTCATCCTGAGAACGCTCTAGCCTTGAAAATGTTGAGTGATCTGTGATATGATCGATTCGTAAGAGTTGCTTCTTGAAGCATTCATCTCTGTTTCAGAGTTCTTTGGACGATGCTGGATATTTTGCAAGTTCTGTCATATTCTTTGCAAATAGACCCAAATCAAGAGACGCCAACTTTGAGAATACCACAAACCCCGTATGCAATACAACTCATGGACACTCTGGAAGCGAGAGAGGTAGGTAAATAAATTATACAATTTCCTATACTGAAATTGAGAGAATCAAATATCTAATTCTGAACAAAAAGTGTATGTTTATGACTAGCAAAATTTCTTTAATGTTATTTGTTTTCTCAATATTGACCTGTTTTATTTATTCCAATTAATTTTTAAATTTCAGGTATAGCATAAACTTGCATTTTATTATTTTCCCAATTTATTTTTGGTTTGACAACTTTTGAAATTGATGTCATGTACAGTCGTGTACTGTCAGTTCCAGCTTCTTTCAACTATTCTTTATGGTTGTCTGACTGTCAGTGCTTGTCGGAGCGTCCTTACTCTAGAGATATACAAAAACGTCATAACAGAAGTGTTGAAGACATGAGGAACTCTTCTCGTAGTACAATAGAATGCTTAAAGGTCCGGTGCTTTTACTCATCGTCGGCATCTTTGATGTTTTTAACCCCGTTTTGTTTTGTGCGCAACCATAATTTCATATCACGCGCACCAGGGTACTTTATCATGATTTCAACACATCAATCAGACATGAATCTATACGTCGGTACCTAGAATATAAATTATTGGAATCCTTCTTCTGGGACTCTCAAGTCTCTGATTATTAAGGTGATGGAATGAAAATAACGACCATCTAACCTAACATGCGAACTTCGAAGGCGCAAATTCATTACATAGCGGTGTTGCCACAAAAATATCGTTCGTACTTCTTCGCAGAGCATAGTCAAGGACTTCGCCGCCAATTCGGAACGTATCATCAAGGAGGCGATGAAATGGGCGCCGCAATGGACGCGATCGCACATCCAGGAGTACACCAACCAGATCCCGACGGCGGGCGCGTGGCCCCACACCGGCCTGTCGATGGCGCTGGAGTCGGTCCTGCAGTGGGGCCCGCCCAACCCGTACAGTGCCCCCCTGAGCACGAACACGCTGGAGAAGCGCCCGAAGTGCGTGAAGAGCGACTCGTCCAAGTTGATGTCGACGTCAGCGATGCGGTCGAAGTATACTGGAGAGGTAAACAAATATTTCACGCTTGAAGCCATTCATGAAATCACAAAATAGAACAATAAAGTGCATTTTCAATTTACCTTTTTCAGAATCAACTGTGAATCTATACAAACCTAAAGACTTGCTGAATCTAGTTTCGTTATATAAACTCAAAATTTGTTGTTTTATTCATTTTGTCAGGAAGGAATTGAAAATATCGAAATATAGAAGAAGCAGAAAAATTTAAAATCAAATTAAAGAAATATCTGCTCAGTAAACTCTTACTCCATATCTACTAATCATTCACAATTTGATTACTTGTAATGGATTATAATATTCTCATTTTATATCTTATTATAATTTTTTTTATGAAGAACAATAATTGTGCAATCATTATTGTTTCGATTTATTATGTTATATTATTATGTATGTTTCTTTGTATATATCCCTATTATAAACAATAATGTTTCTTGGGGTAATAAAGAAAATCAGTCAGTATATCGCTAGAACCTTAGACACATTAAAAAAGGGGAGACATTACATTTCATTCATAAAACACTATTTGTTTACAATCGTACATACTTCCAAAGTGTTGAATAAGTTAGAAAAGAGATGACTTCAAAAAATGGCAATGCTGCAAACTAATTCGAAAATAAAAGCTATATCCAACCGGCGTTTCCTAATAGAACGAAAACTGGACTTGAAGACCAAACAAACTGCCACCTATATAGATACGATACGAGCTGAACAATATGATACAAGGCGAAGGACAGTGTATTCCGCTTCACTAGTTACAGTCCTCTCCAATTTAGAAGACAGCATTGAAAATGGAAACTATAGGGAAGTGGTTACCTTCGTTTGGAATGGTTAATTTTGGAGGCAGTATTACACTTGCCTGAAATTATGACTCACGACGAAGTTTTCTTCATGGGAAAATGATCACATCATCACATTCCATTTACTGGTCGTATTTTCAATGTTACAATAAATTCTGAGCATAAACACGAACTCAAAGTGAAATTCAATCCGGTCGACATGGTTAGCTGGGCTTGCTCAGCAAAAAATCGAACTTCGGTGTACCTTGTGCCTTACTTCGTCAAGAAATGGACAGCCCCAAGCGATCTTACCGCCAGTCATCGAAGGCAAAGCCGGGTCCTCTCCTGTAAACGGGACGAGAGGATTCTTGTCAACATGAGTAGCAATCAGGCCAAAGCCTCTTGCAAGGGCGACCCATCAAACGTAACAAGAGGAATCTTGTTGACATTGGTACCTGTCAGGTCGTAAATACGGCCTGATGCCTCACCAATTGGGTTGGACCCCAGGGGGCAGCGGTTTCCGAAAAACACCACCAGAAGAATCCCAATATGGCTCAAGTGGAAGGATATCTTGCCTGCCTCCACGGGTGAGCAGCGTTTCTGCTCGGGCACTGACACTGCAGAGCCAGTAGTCTGTCTTATCAGACCGCCTCACCATTGGTATAATAAAATGGTAGCAGGAGAACATGCCGTTACATAACGGAGATGGCTCTAGCGCGCTAATTTGGCGTATCCAAATCCTCCATTTCTCCCAGGGGTGCTGTCGGTATAGGTAGAAAGATAGTGACCGGTAGTCATCCCCTATGGGAATCTTGTGAGAGGGGGGTGGGATTTGGTCCCACCCGGTTGCTACCCCGGCAACATACTGATTGATTGATTGATTGTCTGTAGATGGCGCTAGTTTACTGAAAACATCGAGAGCTCATTTGTATCAATAAGATATTTGTATGAAGTTTTCAAAACGTTACCTCAGACAAATTACAATTGAGTTTTTGTTTCTCATTTAAGAAACTACCCATGTAGGTGGGATATTCAGAGAGGTGAATAAGTTATCAACTATATAAAATGAGCAGCCAACAATGTTCATTCTTGAAGTGTTCCAACAGGAGAAATATTTGTTTACAACCTTGACAAAACGATGAATTATGACAGAAACACTGAAAATATCGTCTCTGAGCAGACCATATTAAAACTCGCCTATCAGGTTTTCATTTAGAAGGATAATGGTTTAGGTTACAGGTATGCTGAGCGTTTATGACGACAGACCTTCTCTTGCTGACCTCATTCTGAAGCGAGTGTGGAGTGCCTGCAAAGACAGATCAGACCCCCTACACAGAGACGCGTTATGGCAAGCCACTGCTTTATTGATATCGACAACAGAACTGAACAGAAATCTCCTACACTGCATAGCTTGGTCCCAAGTAATTTCCCATCATTTAGATTATAAAATAGTTGAGTTTTACGAGGATATTTACAGGTTGAATTGTTTACCGTGGAAGCTATGAGAACCGCAGTGGACTGTTGGCAGTGGTTGATAACTTCGAAACCAGAATTAGAGGTTAGGTTCCTTCAGGAAATGGTATCTGCTTGGAAATATACCGTTCAGAAGCGTCTTGGTTTATTTTCTGTGTCCAAAAACCAGACTAGTCCACTAGCTGCTTATGAAGGTTAGTTTAGTTAGCAAAAAAATGTTTCGGGTACAGTGGTGCCCAAGTAAAAAGGAATGAAGTTCGAGTAATTTATTATTCTCTTTGAGGTTGCACTTTGGAACCTGACAACCCGTTTGTGAAGCCACACGGTATATGGGTGCAATTTATATGCGAACTTGTTGAGACCCTGAAATACAGCAGCTATGAGAAAGTGGAAATGATAGCGAGCCTCATACACAATTCTCTGGCGATGAGTGTCGGTTCAGAACCACCATCACAAACTAGATGTGTGTCTGCAATCGGAGTCCATTTCAAGTAAGAAAAAATAGCATTTTTGCCAAATTCATAGGCATTTTTCAATATCAGTTGCCTTAAATTGCACTTTAACCACATACTTCGACACAACCTTTTCAGAGTTTTTGTGTTATTTGGAATATTCATTTCACCATTTTAGTGCAGTAAAGTTCACATTGAAAATTCACAGTATTGGTATAATTCGGGAAAAAATAGACCTTTGCAGTATCGTGAAATGTTACCCTCTGGCAATAAGAAACAGATGAATCATTCAATATTGAAATTTCTATATGCTGTTGAGATGTGAAGTCAAGGTGGAACAGGGACTACATGGTTGTCCAGGGACTACATGGTTGTCCTGGTCTATTGAGTGTGAAGATGCTAAGTAGAAATGACTCTTGATTATTAGGCGCGATTCAAAATAATACGTAGCCCCCCACCTGAAAACAATAACTTCATTTTAGAGAACAGAATGCTTCCACTGGTTACAAAAATACCGCTCATTGTTATATCGCAAAGTTCATAAAGTGTAACAACTATGAACATTCATAGTGTGCCGTTTTCAACATTTCCAAGGTTGACTGAGTTACTATTTCTAAGCTACAATATTCTTCTGTCTTTGTTGCTTTTTACAAAAATATTTTCAAAACCATAGGTTCTCGTGTTCCAACTTAGAAGGAAGCATTGGATTGGACCTTCTTTTTGATTGGTTAATATTGGAGACCTGCCTAATATTATAACTTATAACCATGATTTCGAATTAGGCGCCATATATTCGTTTCGTCAGTGTAAACATTCCTTCAGAGGCAGCGCCACCTACTATCTCCTTATTTGGAATATAGTATAGATACTATTTTCCACTCGTGCACAAGTTAGGTTGAAACTGTTATACCATCCACTCGGATTCTGTTGTACACCACAAAAGATCGAACATACTGGAAGCATATCATCTGACCGTGAAAGAAATACCACAAACAGATCCCCTCAAAAACCTCAAATTCCTAAAAGAATTGAAGCTTGAGGGGCTGCTGTGAACAAGAAAACCTTGAGATAGCAGAAGAAAATGGGGCACAATAGATCTAATCAAGCCGCAGCGCATCTGTCACCATCCACACTTACCATTACTAATACCAATCCACTCGAATTAATCAAAGAATATGGATTATCATATTATTGGGTCCTATTCTTCAAAAATACAAAGAATTCAATAGATCCCCAGTATCGTTGTTCTCCACTGCGCATTCTCAGCAGTACACCTGCGCGAAACCAATTAGAATCAATTCATTCTTGTCAGTTAACGGTGCGCACACAACAGAAGAAGAGAGTTATTAGATATAGATTCACTATATAAATTCAAATTAATGTCGTTCATTCTTTCAGTCAAACATTGTCAAAAGCATTCAATTTTGGTTTTCCAAATCAATACGATACAACTAGACAAGCAGATTATTTTTCTGTCAAGAAAATCAAATCAGATATTGGTAAAAAATCCATATATCACAATGGAATGATACAATACAATTCACTACCAAATAACTTGAAGCTGATTAAAAGGATTGAAAAATTTCAAAAGGAATTCAAGAAACATCTACTCCTGTATTATTGATCATTTTTATAGTTTTCTTGTACAACTACTATAGTTTTCTATTGGGTACCAAACAGCTGAGTCAATTAAGAATAATTTTCAGTTGAACTTGAAGAAAAAACAAGTCTTCTTGAGTGTGAGTCTTATTTTACTGTCTTCTTTATTTTATTTTGTATTCCCAACAACATATAATCTCCAAAAGTTCAAAAAAATTCCAATACCTACCTCCTGTCCCTATCCTCCCTAGGAACGCACGATGTTCTTTGAACATTATAGGGATTCCCTTTCGTGCGCCCCAAGCGATAAAAAAATATATTATTTATATATTCACCATGTTTCCTGCTATAAACAAATGTTGTTTCTTGGGAATAATAAAGTTGATTGATTGAATTTCATCATTTGTTGAATATTTCTAGACTGTTATCGTGCGGTTTATCCTTACTGCAAGGGGACATTCTTCCGAAAAGTCTCGCCAAGAATGTTCTCAGGGAGAGGATCTACTGCAGCTGTTTGGATTATTTTTGCAAACCGGTCACGTGTCCGACACAATCGGAATTGCGTGATGATATTACGACGCTAGTGAAATTCTGGCAGAACTTACATTCCGATAAGAAATACCTGAAGGCTAGTGACGTTGGAGGTAAGTCAAAGTCGAAATTAATTCGACCGACAACACATTTTTACAGGTGATAGCTCTCCGGATTTGAAGAAGAATTGAGTAAGAAGATTTTTTTTACTGATTAATGAGAAACTAGCTTCCAGTCAGAAATAAAATGAGTTGATTACAAACAACAATAATAAAATAACATAAGGTGACAAAACAACAAAAAATCTAAAAAACCTAAAAATACTTAATCGATCAAGTCAATAAAATAGCATCAGGGCCTAATCAGTAGATGGCAAAGTATCAATTTTATCCATGTCATAAGGAAATCATGTGTTTTTTTAATTTTGAAATATGTCTACAATTTTTTAAATTATGTGGTACTTTATCGAATTCAGCTAGAGCAACGTGAGTAAATCTTTTTATAAGTATAAGAAGTAACAGAATCAAGATGAAAAAAGTTTAATAGGCTTATATCACAAAAAATTTGTATTTCATAATTCGATAGAACTCACCCAAACTAGCTCACCACCGCAATCCGTTTCTTGCTGTGAGCTCCCTACGTTTTATAAAAAATTATTGAAATCCCCGATTTTTCGGACCTCTGAAAACGAGGCGATGATGTGACGTCAAAACCCCTTATACTGAAACAAGACTATTTCAGACAGAGGTGAATGATACATGATTTCTGACAAAGTGAATTAGCACGAGATCACAGTTGAAAGAATTAATATCAGTTGCCTCAGTCTCCGTCCGGCGTTTGGTATTTTCTTTTAACTATGGCGAGATGAGGTTTCTACGTCATAAGAGGGTCCGTTTTCAGAAGGTACTATTATTTATGTCCAAAAATAAAACATTCCAGTTAATTTTTCGATCGATTTATGTCGTCAATCATTATTTATGTATAAAATGATCATTATAAACATGGTTTGAGTTAAAAGTTCTACTAAGGTGTACACGCCCATTGTCTCATATGATAAACATGAATTTCTGAGTTTCTTATCAAAACAAAATTGGTTTTCAGATTATTGTTTATGATATTATATGAACCTTGGAGAATCTATTTTGTACATTTCATCAAATGAAAATTTTTCTGTTATCGCATACAGATCATTTGTTGGGATATCAGATGAGAGGCGATACGATACCTTCAGTGATTTCTTAGAAAGTGCAGATATTTTACTGAAATAATTTTTTGAACAAGATCGCCAAACGTTTATCATATAGGTAATACGACTGAGTATATGAGAATGAAGTACTATGTTTATGACTTTTTTATCAAGTTTACATCTTCGCAAAGCTTAGTTCAAGAGAATGTTGAAGTTGAAAAATAGAAATAGTTTATTAGAAATAACAATTTGGTTTGCAAGCATTTTTAGACCATTCAGAACCATTTTAATTACGGCAGTCAATTCTAATCTTTCATGTTGAGAGTTGAGGAAGGATAGTAGCATTGAAACGTTCACTTAGTACACTACAAAGCTTGTTATTCACGGATTCTTATTATATAGGTAAAAGTATTGTCCTGATTTACTCAAATTTACAATAATTAATATCAATTTGGGGAAGCACAAGTATATCACATTTAAAACCATTAATTAAATTACAAAATAAAACAATTGAGTGCATTTACAATTCACATTACCTGGGACCTACTATTAATCTTTACAAACCAAAAGATCTGTTGAATTTATCTTCTTTATATAAAATTAAAATTTGTTCTTTCATTGATTATGTGAGAAAAAATATAAAAATATCCAACTAGAACTTTACTGAAGTAAATACAATTCATACTCATGAAACGAGACAGTTGAATTCATTAATAGCAAACCCATATAACTCCATTGCAAACAATCAGTATTCTACAACGGAATCATTTTATATAATTCATTACCTTATGATTTCAAAACATATTGATGATGAAACAAGATTCAAAGTCAATATGAAAAAATATATACTCATGACACTATAAACGGAGCAATTTATTCTCATTTGAATACTTGGAATGATTTTATTTTAATTATTGTCTTATTGATATAACTCGTCAATAAGTTTTTTTTATTAATATAGAACAAAAATAACAATATTATGTTGAAGAAATCCTTGAAATGATATCATTCTCTATCATTTTATAAATCTACTTGAACATGCTATCCGTAAATGGAGACCAATTCGGTAATCATATGCATTCTTCAAGCAAAATAATACGTAGAAAGAATATGATTTTTGTAATGTTTTATTATGATTTATAGGGCAATTAAGTCACTAATGCTGGCATAATGTCAGAGTCTTACAAAAAACAAACATTAATTTTGGGTTATTATACATATACATATATACATATTGAAAGACATGATTCTTTGACTAATTTTAGGACTAAAAGTACCTATCCTATCATCACCTGTGTAACGTTGTCGGTCGAATTTTGAAACTATGTATTCCTATATTCAAAAGTTCATATGTTTGTTTAGATTTAGACTTGGGTCCGACTGGTCCGTCAGTACATAATAATGAGCTAGCCAAGCCCAGTGATTACAACAAAGCGACCTCAGGTTGGATAAATACGATGCCCCTTTCTACTAGCACTGCAACGCTCAGTAGAAGATCGGCGAAATCTAGAAAAGTACCGGTGGCCGATAATTTCGTCAAGTGCTATTTGAAAAAGAGGAACTTAATCCTCGAACTGTTGGTAAGAATTCGAAAGTAAAAGATTTGTTCGTGTAGATATTTTTGTTGCTAAAAAAAAACGGACTCGCCATGTTTGTAATTTTTGTTTAGGAGTTGCTATCGCACAAAAGTCTCGTGATATTGTTCGTTTTAGGCTGTCGAAATTGAATTTTTGATCGTGTGGCATAACCCAACTTCCCGACCAGAACTGTTGATACCGGGTGAAGAAACTTTGGCTTCTTGGAGGGCGAAAACGATCACCGACAAGCAGTGGCATGACTATACGCGTTTGGCGTGGGATATATCGCCCAATCTGGCCGTATATTTACCGACAAGGTTTGTGTACGATTTACCAGGATTTTTTTTTCGTTTCATTAGTGTGTCGGAAAAAAATTGAATCGCCCTGTATATATTTTTTTCCTTAGATTCCGAACGAACGATGCTATCGTTAACGAAATAAAGAGCCTAGTCAATATGAATCCAACTTGTACGGCCCATATACCGGAGGCTTTGCAATATTTGGCTACCACTGACACTATCTTGAATGACAGTACGAAACTGGTACATATGCTGACTTGGGCAAGAATCTCACCGATCCAGGTAAAATACCTTTATCACCTGATCCTCACATTTTTTTTATAAAGGTTTTAAGTTATCGATGAGAGAGAGAGAGAAAAGACGCATGTCTTCCATTCGTGAGTAAAATGAAAATACATTAAATTCCATATTGGTTAGGAACAAAATTAGAAGATGAATTTTCTAACCTCAATGAGAAGAAGGTTAGAATGATCTTCCCTTCCATGTATCTATAATTTTTGGTATTAGGAAGACAACGACAGGGGATGGACACATTTTTCTCATAGTGCTAACTGAACTTGAACTTGATGCTGCAAGAAGTATTTTTGTCGAGATTTTTCTCATTTTCATAATTCAGAACTCTGCCCTGCCTGATCTACGTTGATCTAGATCAAGGTGGATAGATCATGGTGTAATCACAGACAGTGTTTTGTTTCTCACAAAACGCTTGACCGCAGATTCCGCAATAATGGCATATTAGTTCTCAGTTGTCCGCAAGCTGCTTGCACCAGAAATAATATCATAACATTCATAACATAACCTCAACTTAAATGAGATTAAATTTGAAAGTACGATGCTGTAATTTTGGAGGATTTTGAATCATCTGTTCTACCAACCTTGAATTTTGGTTGAGATTTCGCCATCTAACGGGTAAAATGCGACATATATTCCGCGATATTGAGAAGAATTCTTCTGTCAAGTAGGCCGTAGGTCAAGAACTTTGACCGAAAAACAGTAGATGGGGTTTGATAGGAGTTTCTACACCATCTTTTGTTCATCCTGATCTAGATAAACAAAAAATCAGGACACATTTTGAAAATCTTTAATCATAATATTTCTTGCAGACAGTTTTTAATATAGCTACTAGATGATATTAAAAACGTTGATCCCAATGATCATTATATCTCGATTTCTTTCTTAGGCACTTGCATTCTTTAGTAGACAGTTTCCATCTCATCCCATATCTGCTCAATATGCAGTCAGAGTTTTGAGTTCTTATCCTGCAGACGCAGTATTATTTTACATTCCTCAGCTAGTGCAGGCCCTAAGGCATGATAAGGTAATAATTTGACAAACTTTTTGATAAGTATTTCGATTGATGTTCCGTTTTTGTTCAGATGGGCTATGTAACTGAATTTATCAAGTATATTGCGAAGAAATCTCAAATTGTCGCTCATCAGCTCATTTGGAATATGAAAACCAATATGTATATGGACGAAGAGATGCTCCAAAAAGATGGTGAGTATCTTTTCGTGAACAAAATATGTTTTCGTACCATTTTAGAGTAAAATACTTATTATTTACACTAACAAGATGATCCACACTATGTAAAATGACTAGATTAGTTCTTTGCTGGCTCGTAAGCGGCGCTAGTGAAATTCAGCAAAATATGGCCGATTTGTCCATATTTTTGGAATTTACAAAATGCTGAACTATCTTTCTGAGACAGGAAAATTACTAACTATGATATTCTGAAGGCTTTGAAATGAAAATATTTCAATCCGGCCTTGATACGACATTTCTTCTTGCAAGAACGTCTGAAAATAAACTTGGAATATATTCTGCATTACCGATCTCTACTTTTAGGTACTCAACAAAAAGTAGTTCACGTTATCGCTCATAGATACCGACCTCTATGAATGGAATTTCTGGCTTCATTGCTCACATAAAGATGGTTCATCTTGTTAGTGTAAATAGTAAAAAGTCTACAAGTTACTCTTGTGGTTTTTATAATGACTCGGGCTTCAATTTTTAGCGGTTTTATATGAGGCTCTAGAATCTCTCACAAACAGCATAGTTGGGGAGCTGTCTGGCCCAGCGAAATTGTTTTATGAAAGAGAGTTCGACTTTTTCGATAAGATCACAAACATTTCTGGAGAAATTCGACCCTATCCCAAGGGTATCGAAAGGAAGAAAGCATGTTTGGAAGCTTTGAGCAAAATAAAGGTAAGATTCAACATTCGTTTCGAAAATTGTCAAAGATTCAGTGGCTTGTATTTTTTTCGAGTACTGAACCAATTTTTCCTCTTTACCATTGAAATTCTGTCATCAGATATCGTACACTCTGTAGATTATTCTTTATATTTCAGGTTCAGTCTGGGTGTTATTTACCAAGTAATCCGGAAGCTATGGTTCTGGACATCGACTATAAAAGTGGTACTCCTATGCAAAGCGCTGCTAAAGCACCATATCTGGCTAGATTCAAGGTTGCCAAGTGTGGTATTAATGAATTAGAAAATATAGCTATGGACGTCTCAACAAATCAGGTGAAAATTTAAAAAAATGTTCAAAGCTTGTACTGCGATATTTAAAAGCACCGTTTTTCTCAATCTGAAAATTAATCATAATGACTATTCTCATTTTTTACTTTAAAGTTACTATTTTCTCATTATAATGACTTGAAGAAAAAATGTTTCCATTAATCTGAAATCTTCATAAAAATATCAGTGTGTTCCCAAAATCTCTTTGTTGATGAAAGACTTGACATTCATTCGTTTTTCTCATGAAAAAAATCATAGTGTATCATGAAAATTCTGATTGAGTTGAGCACCATTTTGCTCAGACAGTTCGATTTTCTAAATACTGAAAATTTTTGAAATCGGTTGTGAAATATCGATTGCATAAGAGAGTACGCACCGGTCTAAATATTTTTGTTTTGTTTGTTTCTAGACTAAAGAATTGCAAAGTTTCGGTCCAGAAATGTGGCAAGCGGCCATTTTCAAAGTCGGAGACGATGTCAGGCAAGACATGCTCGCTCTGCAAGTGATTGGAATTTTCAAAAACGTTTTCCAAACTGTCGGATTGGATTTGTATCTTTTTCCCTACAGGGTTGTGGCTACTGCTCCAGGGGTGAGAAATTTTCATTATCACATCTGCAAAATGTTTTCAATCAATATTTTCAAGAAACATTCGGATTTTTTTAGTGACTGTTGAAGAGCAAAAACCTCTTCTTGTTTGATAATACGTTTTTCGGCCATCGTTTTACTACTTTTTGCAATGTGCAAAATGTAAATCACTGTTTATAGTAGTGCAAAAAATACTTCAATTCTGTGTTGATTACGAGCTTACTCTGAAGATAATTTGAGTTTACATAAGAACATGATAACTATTGGCGGATTTCAAGGCCATCATATGACGTTGCGATGACATTTTCGGCTATTCATTAATTCAATGCACAAAAAATGCAGCGAGAGACGAAGGAATCCGGTTGGTAGTGACAAAATTTCATAATGGAAACTATGTGAGTTTACTATTTACCTGAGAAATCATATTCCTTCGTCTCTCGCTGCATTTTTTGTGTATTGTACAACAGCACAATGAGATGTGGCATGCTTGAATTAATGAATAGAGCAACAAACACGATTCGTATGCCGAAATATTATGAAAAACTATTTCAGTCCTTTGATTCCTCTGTAAACAAATGAAAAAAGTGAGGTTGTGTTTCAATGTTTCACAGAAAAGTGAGGTTATGTTTCAATATTTTAACTCCAGGGTCGGTCATCGTGCACGCGACCTATACATATCTAACCCTCAATTTGTGCCAGGAGTTAGGAATGATTTTTAAACATGAAAATCCTTTGAGAATCTGCCGTCAACAGCGGCGAAGAATAAAACCGGGTCTTCAACAATGATTGAGTGCCACAATGTTTTTTTTTTAAGTTCTGGTTCCCACGAAAATGGATATCCAGTAATGTTCAGAGAACATCGTGAGAACCAAGGGAAATAAGGTAGGAATTGGGGTTCTTCTTAAATTTCTGGAGGTTATATGCCTCGGGGAACACCTCCCTTAAACTAAATCTATACTAAATGACATCTAGATCGGAAAGAAATTATAATAAATTCATTAGAATACAGAATATTTGCATAAAAATATAGTAGTAATTTTGGATTTCCTAGCTTATATGTAATTAACTATGTAGATGGAATATCAAATGAACACTTTGTCAGGAGGAGTTTCATTGTTTCGATGACATAAACGTGGATTTGACAGCGATTTTGAAAATGTTCAGGGTTAGGAGGTCCTCTCGCTTACTAACTAGGTTGTCTTTTGAAACTACAATGAAAAACACAATAATTCTCTTTGAAACCCACAAATTCGCCTAAAACAAGAAAATTTATTTAGTGCGGAGTGACCGAATGTGACCAGCTCGGCCGCTAGACGGGCATCGGGACGTACGAGTACTTTCTGAAGAAGTACGGAGATGAAAGTGCGAAAAAGTTCCAGAATGCCAGGAGGAATTTCATTGTTTCGATGACATAAACGTAGATTATGACAGTGATTTTGAAAATTTTCAGGGTTAGGATAACAAGTGGATAACTTAGTTCGAAGTAGAGGTCACTAGCTTACTGAAAATGTCAATAAGGGTGATATTCGCATTTTTTTTTTCATATGAACAGACAAATACCATATGATTTTTCTCGCCTACTAACTAGGTTATCATTCGGAACTACAATGAATAAAACACAATTATTGATCGATTGATTGATTGTCTTGATTACCCCCAAGAAACATTACTGTTTATTAGGAATACATGAATACATAAAAAACATATAATAAAGGGTTAATTAATGAATTCCAATCAGTGATTAATATTGTTTCTTAAGACAGTCAAATTGTCCTGAGCAAGTATTTTTTAAGATTGATTTCAAACCTTCTTGTATCATGTATATTTTTTAACTCATTTGGTAATGAATTGTATAAAATTATTCCATTATGAAATACAGATTGTTTGCCAATGTTCGACTTGAATGTATTTGCTATCAAGTAATTCAATTGTCTAGTCCCATAACTATGGACTGTATTGACTTCATTAAAAGCTAAATTTGATATTTTCAATTTATTCCTAGTAAAATGAATAAAACAACATAATATTTTAAGCTTATATATATTAAATCAGGTTCAGAAAATGTCTAGGTTTGCATATATTTACCGTTGGTTCTAGAAAATATTGATGAAGAATGCATTAAATTGATTTGTTTTGTAATTTAATTAGTGGTTTTAGGCGTGATATATTTGTACTCCCCCAAATAGAAATTAAATATTGCAAATTTGAATGAATGAGACGAAAGTAGATACATTTCAAGTATTTTATGGGAATTATATTTCGGATTTTGAATAAAATGCCTATGAACGGAATTATTTTATTTCTCAAATGGTCTATAATTCTCTTAGAATCCCACGAAATCGCCTAAAATAAAAATTGTCTCCAGTGCGGGGTGATCGAGTGCGTCCCGAACGCGAAATCACGTGACCAGCTCGGCCGCCAGACGGACATCGGGATGTACGAGTACTTCCTGAAGAAGTACGGCGACGAGAGTACGAAAGAGTTCCAAAATGCCAGGAGGAATTTCATCGTTTCAATGGCGGCGTACAGCGTCGTCGGCTTCCTGTTGCAGATCAAGGACAGACACAACGGCAACATCATGTTGGACACTGACGGGCACATCATACATATCGGTAACCCGCTTTTTCTCTCTCTTTCATTTTTTTTAATTCACCTTTATTTCCATAAACAAGACACACTAAGTCATCTCCACAAATTTATTAACTGAATAATCAGTGTCTGAACATGTTTTAGGCTATCAATTGTCCATCATCAGCAAAAGCATATTTTGAATGACAATTTCTACAAAGAACAGTTGTTATGTTATTCTTTACCAATAATTTATTATGAGTTCACTCGGCCATTTGAAATTTCTTTTTTAGATTTTGGTTTTATGTTTGAATCGTCACCTGGCGGTAACCTGGGATTCGAACCGGACATCAAACTGACTGACGAAATGGTCATGATAATGGGCGGCAAAATGGAGGCGCCCCCTTTCAGATGGTTTTCTGAGCTGTGTGTACAAGCTTACTTGGCTGTCAGGTGAGCATCTGTTGTACTTCTCTCAACTCCCTTGAATTTCCATAATGTACCAGGTGATTCAATAACGGTGACGAGGTACAGTATCTCAGGAACTAATAGTTTATCAAACACGCCTCCTAGCGAGGGCAGTAAGAACCAGAATGGTATGTATGGATCTTTATTTTATTCACCAAACCTTCCTTTCTCGAACCATACCTTTTGTTACCAAATTATTAGTTCCTGAGATACAGCTTCTCGGTTACCCTTATTGAATCATCACCTGGTACAACGGTAATGTTGTTTATTGACGACCAACGCCGACCGATGCAAGACCACTTCGCCCGGGCTCTTTGAATGTCGATGCGGTTCAAGGATATAACCTCAAAACACTTAAATTACTCAAAAAATGGGAAAGGGTATCTACAGTCTTCAGAATTGAATGACAAAAACTGCTTATATTTCAACAAAAATAGCATTACATCACTCGATGATTCACTTGTTTCTGATAAATACAGTTCAAAATTATTATTTCATTCAACAAAATCTGTCTCGTGGAATCCAATGATTCATATCGATGATTCCTAATATATCTGGTTTCTAAGAAGACAGGTAATGTGTTATTTTCGGTGTATTATCAATTCATCAGTGAAGTTCACGGTTTCGTATACAAGCGACCGATCAAAACCATTCGTATTGGCATTGTGATTAGTCACGTGACACTAACGACTAGTCGGTCAAGCCGGTCGACAACAAAAAAACTCTACCAGTGTGTCAAGTTTTCAATGTTTTTGCGTGATGACTCAGTTATCTTCGGAGATAGAACCTTGCCTTTTTTTGCGATCCTGTGCCACTTTTTTGGGGAGCTCAAGATGTCCTTATCCCAATTTTTCCAATATTTTTTTGGCGGCTTTTTATAACGCCGACGAATGAAAATAAAATATCACAGTAGTAGCAACTGTTATCAAGTGACGTATGGTTTCCATAGCCAACTTTTCAATTTTTGGCTCTCATTTTGCTCCCACGGCCTACTCGGTGAATTTCAAGAATAATTTTTTTCTGATCTAGTTTCTGATTAGATACCAACTTGTGATATGCCATTAGAAAGGGAATTGAATGCCGAATAAAGCGAAAAGAAAAAGAATAGGGTTTCCATTTAAAATAAGAAAGTTGATGTTACTTCCGGTCAGACCGGAAGTTAACTTCGACATGTCAATATGCTCAAATTCTAGCTCTTATGTCATTATATCGACGCTTCAAATTTCACAAACCTACTTCATACAATAACTGAGATATTCCGTAGGCAATACTTCCGTAGTCACCCGGTATATTCTGTGGTAGCTATTTTCTGTTGCATATTTCAACAATGATTTTCTTATTTATCAAAAAAGAAAAGAAAAAGAATTGTTTGGTAAGTACGCTCGTGACTCGGTACATTTTTTAGACCCCACCACGAAGCCATCATATCCCTGGTTTCCCTCATGCTTGACACAGGGTTGCCATGCTTCCGGGGTCAGACCATCAAGCTGCTGCGAGGCAGGTTCAGTCCCGGCACCACCGACAAAGAAGCGGCCACCTACATGCTGCAAATTATACGAAACAGTTTCCTCAATTTCAGAACGCGCACTTATGACATGATCCAGTATTATCAGAACCAAATTCCCTATTAGACGACAAAAAAAATCAAAAAACGGTTGGTTTGTTGATGAAAGGACCCCGCACCATTTACATTGAAATCTTGTCTACGGTGGAATTTTGTGAAAATCTAGGATTGGATTGATCCAATCATGCTGAAAAAGAAATGTCTTTTGGTCCAAGGTCCGTTATGCCCGTTAAAAAAAGTTATAAGCTCTTGAAGCCAAACCTCTACCAGAACACCACATCCTGTGTATAATATGGTTTTGGCTGATATAATTCGCGAGATTCACGAAGTGGGCGACATTTAGGTTACATAATACGAACTTCAAACTGGGGGAAAACAAACTGTTGTCTATGGATAAAGTGCATATACTGCATATTGCATTCAGCTTGCTGTGGCTATAGTCAGACTTGTCAATGACATAAAGTGTTGGCACTGTTGGTAGTGATGATGGTTGAGGTGGTTAATTTTTTTACATCATTACATTTTTATTAGTTTAGTGAACAGTGAACGAGTGAAGAATTGGAGATAGTTCAAACAATTCAAACTAATTATGACGAGCAAATCAATTGACATATAAAAGAACAGCTACAACATGTTTACAATACCCAGATTGTCCTGCTTTGCAAGAACAAATACAAATTCATTGTTCTACAGGACCCCAACTTCAATTTTACTTCATGTGGGGAAGTTTGTAGACAAAGTGCAAAAATGTGCCTTTTGTTGAAGTCTTCTGCCTCACACAAAATCACATGATTAGCACGGAGAACTGCTTCTCCTTCCACTACTGGTCGGCTTTTTCCATCTAAATAGAGCAAAATATCTGCCAAAAGAATATCTACAACAGGCATTATTAGCGTTTTCTATCGAATATTGACAATTAATGTCAAGAAATTCAAAAACTTATCACTTTTATCAGTACACAGTACACAAGCTAATGGCACTAATGGGATTGAATGAGGATTGAGTTTGTTTTCCCCCAGTTTTGACGTGGCTTTGACATGGAACGATGAAAACCGAGCGCTACCTGGTAACATTGATTCCCGCGAATATTTTTGAGTTGTCAGATGATGGTCATTCATGTTATGTCACTAAAAGTCATTGAGCAAAAGCGTATTACTTTGTTCAAATACGTTGCGAGTCTAGACCGGGGACTATTAGTGGCCTGTCCGTAGAACCGTAAACCACCAATCAATGGTGGCAATATTACACCATCAGCGTTGACATGTTCCAGACAAGATTGGGCATTTTCAGGGATAAAAATATCGTTCACAATATATACATTGACTCTAGCAACTAATTATTATTTGCGCCACAAAGTATGCACACTCTTGCATGGATGGGAAAGACAACATTCAGGTTCATAGAATGAACATTATCCCGAATCCCAAGTTCCTCTATAATGGATCAATTACAGTACAGAAATAAACGAGTACGATCGGTTAGGGGTACATCCTTTCTTCCTCTAGAACCCACCGACGATGTATTTTTTATCTCGATCGATGCGTACCATAGCATCAAGATTGCCTTCGCTACCACATATAAAGCAACGAAACCTATTCTGATAACCCATCTAATATGTATTTGAACAAAGTAATACGCTTTTGCTCAATGACTTTTACTGATATAACATGAATGACCATCATCTGACAACGCAAAAATATATTAGCCAAAACCACACAGGTTGTGCTGTTCTGGTAGAGGTTATCTCGTTTGGCTTCAAGAGCTTATAACTTCTTTTAACGGGCATAACGGACCTTGGACCAAAAGACATTTCTTGTTCAGCATGATTTGATCTATCCAATCCTAGATTTTCACAAAATTTCACAGTAGACAAGATTTCAATGTAAATGGTGCGGGGTCCTTTGTTTTCCTTGGATCCTTTATTTACAATGGTAGTGGGTCATTCATTGGATGAGATTTACGGAAGATAATGCTCTATGGTAATCAATATACATATTGGTCTCTCTGTTTTCGTTGAAAAATGCATTTTGCAATTTTCGGTAGTCAAGGTCATCATCTGACGTATGTCATCGCAACGTCAGATGATTTCCTAGACTACCATGAATAGATTCAAAATAAGGGAGACGCTCTCTTGTGGACATTCAAGTAACTAATAAAAGCTACTTTTAACGTTTGTTTACGTTTGGGATTTCATGCATTTTATAGGAAGTTGAGTGGTCATTGTGATTTTTTTCAAGTTGGAATTCTTCAGTAGTGTCTTATATCCTGTTTTTCATGAGTTTTTTTTCCAATTTTGTTATTGAATTCAGTATTAGAAGAAGTCTAAAAACACTCTCATGAGCAAAACATATAAGTTTAATTCTCCATGTCTAGATTCAATGAGTCAATCAGACAAACATCCAGCTTTGATCATTTACTCCATATAAATTCCTAGGAGTTCTTGTTGAGAAATATTTTGTCCTTTGTTTTTTTTCAAACCCGTTTTGTTTAGGAGATACAGGGCGATATAATTTTAGATAATAACATTTTAAATTGCCAAAAAAACAAAAAATACCTGCAAGAACTATTGAAAATGACTACTTACACAATTTTAAAATTATCAAAAATGGATGGAAATAATTTTTTATAGAAAAATTAATCTGAATACAACCACATCTATGACTTCACAAAAACAGATATCAAACAAACATGTCCTCGTATTTTGTCTTATAGAACGCGTGTATACTTATTTTAGCGAATTCACATTCCTATTAACCACAGTTCAACGCATTGTAATGCGCATGAATGCGCCAAATGCTACTAAGGAATCAACATTTCAGGTTGTTCTAACACACTCACTTACAACACCATTATTTTCGGCAATAAATTCGTTGTTGCAAACATTTTAGACCTCCAATATACTTTGCCAAAGAGGTATTTGTCCTTTTATTTTTACAATTCAAGATGCAGTAAGGATCACCAAGGAAAACATTTTACTTTTCATTTGAACACATCACCTTATAAGGAGTTCGTTCCTGTACAGTTAAAAAATTCTATTGGTGCATTTGTTATTTATTTGAAAGTTTATCCTAGTCAGTAGTCATTAGTGGATGTGAGAATAAGTTGTTGATTTATATAATATACATATATATTTGATGTATTTCCATTTGTATAGGTTAATGAAAAGGGCAAATACAATGTAAGTCAAAAGTACCTATGCAAAAAGATAATTCATGTATTGGTTGTTTTTTTTTTCTGAGTTTTTCTCTAACTGAATCTCCAGTAAGCATATAAAATGTACTTTTTGCTACTTTTGGGTATCTGTATTTCCCCTTCATGGTGATATTTCTTTATACATTATTGTGAGTGGTGTCTAAAAAAACAGTAAACTTATTATAGATTTATTTTAAACTTCAATAAAAATTATTTACAAACACAATAAGTGTAAAATAAAAAATTGAATCATTGGCTGAAATTTGGTACAACTTCAGCTACCCTAGCATTATTGAAAATTTCAATCCAATAACCATCTGGGTCTGTTATAAAGGCAAGTCCTTTCATTTTTCCATCATCTGGTTTTTTCACAAAATTCACACCCAGTTTTTCAAAACGTTCACATGCTTTGTATACATCAGGTACCATTACACCTATGTGTCCTGGAAAATGATGAAATTTATATGATTTCTCACCAGTTTCTCCATAAGAATTGTAATAATAATATAAGAGTAGTAGTTGAATAATATATCATTCATTTTATTTACCAAAGCCTTTTGGATCTTGATTTCCATTATGAGGTTTGTAATCATCATCATTTTCAGTTCCCCAATTGCTGAAAAAAAAGATAATTGGTGACTTTATAAAAACTTAGCATTGAAGATTTAAGCATATAAACATTCAAGACTTAAGTCTTAAGTGGATTCAGTTATAAAAAAAATAAGATTCTAGGGCCATACATGTCTTCTGTCATTCCTGACATCTAGTTTCTAATACAGAACCACATTTTCAAAGTTTAGTTCAGAACACTGAATTAAAAGCTGGTAGTAAATACAGTGCAAATGAGAGTTCACTGTAGTAGAGAAAATTATGAGTAATCAAGAATTATTTGTTTGGTGACTCACTGTGTAAGTTCAACAGTTGCTTTTCTGCCAAATGTCCATCCAATTTGTTCTTTGGAGCTGAGTTCTCCTTGAAAATCTTCAGAGTTCTCGTATCCCATGAAATAAAGGGAAAATTTCATGGCAGGAAAATCTAGCTTAGTAAGGAGACGCATGCCTAATACTCCTGTATAAAATGGTATAGATTTCCTCGGATCCTTGATTCTATACATTGTTTGTTGAAAAATATAATCCTAAGAAAAAAAGGTAAGTACCAGAAATTATTGTAGAATACATGTTGTGGACTACCTTCGTTTCCTCGGGAGGAGAGGAACACAATTTCAAAGCTTCTTCATTAGAAAGAGGTGGACCGGTATTGTCGCCCATGTTTTGATACAACAAAATTTGAGGAAAATTCGAAAATCTGAAAATGAAATGAAATTTCAGATATAAGATATAACCTAAAATATTTGATTTGACACGGAACCAAAATCTACTTATTTTGACACGGAACAAGTTCAATTTTATGATAAAAACTTCTTTTAAATTTTATCAAACGAAAGTAATAGCAGTGTCCTTAGAAGGCAGTGTCTTTCGAAAAAGAAGAATTGCACCTGCCCCGTTTTCCTAACCTCAATTAAATCTTCCTTTTTCTAACCTCAAAAATTAGGTGACTTTTTTTCCTGCCTCTGTTTTTATATTTCACTAAATAATGTCGTGGATATTTGGATATGGACGAAATAAAGATCAAGGTCCGGATTTGTCTCAAATGGGTTTGGGAGTTCCCGCCGGAGCAGGAGGCTCCGATGATGGTACACCCAAAGCGCCCAGTTTGACAAACGCCGAGCGAAAGGCCATGGAAGCATACAGATTCGATTCTACAGCTTTGGAAAGAGCTGCTCAAGCAGCTAGGGAACTAGAAAAATCAAGTAGGTGGCTTCATAAGTTCCCAAACTAATTAACTGATTATATAACCAAATGTTTTATCTATGAAAGCTTTGGAACCTATACTGGAATTTTTGCTTTTCAGAACATGCCAAAGATGCTCTAGAACTATCAAAACAACAAGAAGCCACAAGACAATTTGAACAACAAGCCAAAATCAAAGAATATGAAGCCCACATTGCCCAAATGCAAATTGAAGGTAAAAGGGCAGAGGCTGAAGAAAAAAGAAAACTGTTACAAGAAGAAACCAAGCAGCACCAAGCTAGAGCACAATATCAAGACCAGCTATCACGTAAAAGGTATGATGATCAATTGGGACAACAGCAAAGAATGAATGAAGAAAGTCTGAAGAGGCAGGAAGAATCTGTAGCAAAGCAAGAAGCCATGAGGAAAGCCACCATAGAACATGAGATGGATCTGAGACACAAGAATGAAATGAAAAGGGTGGAAGCAGAGTTGAAAGCTAAAGCAAAAATTGATAGGGAAAACCGTGATTTGACACTTGAACAAATCAGATTGAAAGCAGAAGAAAACAGAGTCACTGTTCTGGAGAGTATAAAGTAAAATTAATAGATTCATGTTTTTCAGTAATCTGATGTAAACTATTTTTTCAACTTTAGGACTGCTGGCACTGTCATAGGTTCAGGAGCACAAGCTTTACTCACTGACTGGAATAAAGTTCTCACAGCTGCTGGAGGTTTATCTTTATTGGCACTTGGAGTGTATTCTGCTAAGGGGGCAACTAGTGTGACTGCAAGATATATTGAATCAAGATTAGGTATTTTAGAATGGTATACTTGTTCTATTTATTCTATATGGCGCAATGATTATTGTTTAGAAAACAAGCAACCAAATAACTCTAAATCTTCTGATCTTTTGTTTTCAGGTAAACCTTCTTTGGTGAGGGAAACATCTAGATTCTCACTATTAGAAGCTGCCAAGCATCCAATAGAAACTTTGAAAAGTCTGAAACAAACTGAGCAGGATGCTCTATCAGGTGTCATATTAGCACCAAAACTGGAGGAAAGATTGAGAGATGTTGCTATAGCCACCAAGAATACCAAACAGAACAAGGGAATGTACAGGAACATTCTTATGCATGGGCCACCTGGAACTGGAAAAACTATGTTTGCTAAGGTAATTTCTACAAAATCTGTCAATGGAAATTATTTATTCCAAATGTTGTGGTAAAGTTCAATAATTCTTGTTTCAGAAATTGGCAAAACATTCTGGTATGGACTATGCCATTTTGACAGGAGGAGACATTGCTCCTATGGGTAGAGATGGTGTGACAGCTGTTCATAAAGTTTTTGATTGGGCCAACAGCTCAAGAAAAGGTAACATCTAATCTTCAAAAATTAGTTTTTCCCTTATGAAAATGCTAAACAGACAAAAAATGACATGAAAAACTTGGGACAGAAATGAACTAGCTATTTTTATGGACCTAAAAAAAGCATTTGATACAGTTGACCACAATATTCTCCTGAAAAATCTTGAAAACATATCTAGAAAAAAGAACTATCAGTACTAAAATCAATAATTGTGAATCTAAAATCCTATATATAAACAAAGGAGTTCCCCAAGGATCAGTGTTGGGCCCAATTCTGTATCTTTTATACATTCAGAATATTTCAAAAATAAATTTAATAGGAAACTATGCCATATATGCAGATGACACAGTACTTTTATTTGAAAACAAAAACCCTGTAATTTTAGAAAACAACATAAATGAGGATTTGAAAAAAATGGAAGAATGGCTATACTCCAATCTTCTTTCCCTCAATTCTAATAAGACCCAATATATAATTTTCCATCAAAGAAATAAACAAAATATTGTTTTGAATATTAGAATAAAAAATGAAAGATTGAAACAAACTGCCTATACCAAATACCTTGGTATTTGGATTGATGAAAAGTTAACATGGAACAAGCATATTGGCATGCTCAAAGAAAAAATTTTCCTCATAGTTGGTGCCTCAAGAAGATGTCCAAGACTTATCCCAAATATAGCAAATACCGTTCTATACTCTCACATCCTTAGTAAAATGAACTATCTCATGAATATTTGGGGTTCATGTTCCAAGAATAATTTCAACAAAATATCTGTACTATATAAAAAAGCATTAAAAGTACTGTATTGTCTTCCATATGACATATCAAAACAACTTTATGAAGAAACAAATACATTTTCTTTGGAAGAGCACTATCTGATAAATACTCTCAAAATTTATTTTGATATTATCAACAAACACCTCAAATCTAACTTCATATTGGTAAGGAATTCTCAAATTCATGAACATCATACTAGACAATATGACTTGTTTCATCTTGATGCTGCTCATCTACACTTGGTCAAAAAAAGTTCACTCAAAATTCAATAAATTACCTGATGATATGAAAAGTTGCACAAATATCACCCAATTCAAAATCAAAGTCAAAACACATATCCTCTTGCAAAGATAAAATCAAACCTGAGTGAATGATTTCTCATTGACTAATCTATTTCATCATGTCATAATGTACTTTTCATGAGCTTTTTGTTTTATTTATTTTTTTCATATTCTGTTGCTTATTTCAATAACTATAATTTAATTTGATGACACATGAATAATCTCATACCAGATATGAATCTGTCTGATTATTCATGTTATTCCATTGTAAATGTTAATGATTATATTTATATGAGATGCAATGTAATGTTTATAGCAAAGATTGAACTATCTATGCATTGTTTGTAGGTCTCCTATTATTTGTTGATGAAGCAGATGCCTTTCTGAGGAAAAGGTCATCAGAGAACATATCTGAAGATCTGAGAGCCACTCTGAACGCCTTCTTGTACCGCACCGGCGAACAGAGCCAAAAGTTCATGATGGTGTTGGCGTCAAACACGCCGGAGCAGTTCGATTGGGCCGTCAATGACAGACTTGACGAGATGGTCGAATTTTCTCTGCCTGGATTGGAGGAGCGAGAGCGGCTTATCCGGCAGTATTTCCAGAAATTCGTGCTGGAACCAGCGGCGGAAGGGAAACGGTAAGGGAAAGAAAACCATTGACTGTACTGACTATTCTATTCTTGTTCTCGAGAACCAATCAGAATCACAAGCGTCTAGGGACCAGTGAATCTTCAAACATCGAGGTCAAGTGACGTCACCCACAACACATGATATTTCTTTATCTTGAGACACTAGGAACAAGCAATAGCTTAGTGGTTTGACTTCCAAGGTGGTGACGGGGGTTCAATTCCTGTGAGGCGTCATTTTTTTTATCACAATTGATTTTTCAAGAATATACTTTTCAGGAAAAAGGTTCATTTAGGACGACTTAGGTTGAAAGTACTTTCCTTTTTCATACCGAAGAGAGATTTTCCTTCATTCCTTCCTCATATTACCTCGTAAAGCGGCGTTCACAACCAAACTTTTTACGTTTTGCTTTTTACGTTTCGTATTCTGATTGGTGAAGCAAAATGTGTAATTGAAATGACGCAAAAAGCTGAAAATATTCAGCTTTTTGCGTTGCAAGAAGCCATCGTCTGTGAAAATAGTAAAAATAGACGAATAATATGAAACATTCTGTAATAATATGGAAGTTATGATGTTTTCATGATTTTTTCGTGAATCCACAGAATGGTAGATAGGTATACTGTTCAATTCATTATTTTCTTGTTGAAGATTGAATTTTCTCTTCAAGTATTGAATAAGGATCAATTTTTATCACCGCCAGTTCTATCAATTCGTTATTATTAATTATCTGATCAATATTATTGTTATGATTATTTACTTCATTTCAGTATGGAAAACAAATAACAAAACCAAGGCAACTGAGCCATAAAAACTCACGATTTTTTGTTGTTGTGAATGACATTTGCTCACGTTTTATTTCAGATTCTGCTTCACCAATCAGAATACGAAACGTAAAAAGCAAAACGTAAAAAGTTTGGTTGTAAACCCCGCTTAAGTCTTATAAACACGATTGACCTTCTGATAACCTTGAGGTTAGAAAGATTCACTGGTCTGAGTAGATGCTTGTATCAGAAACGGTCATTTTTACGGTTTCTTCTATATTAACAGGGATATTTTTTTGTTTACTGAATGAGGGCTTACATTTTCACTTTCACCAGTTGGTGCTGCTAAAACATGAGGTCAATAGCAAAGTAAAAAAATCCCAAAATTTCGCCGGATAGCCCTAAAAGCTAAAAGCATTTTACCAACAATTACCAAATCTTACATTAACGGAGAAGAAGATATCAGAGAGTTGAAGTGTTGTCATGAACGTTAACGTAAACGTAGAGATTGACAGCTACGCATGCGCATTTTCCAATTCTTCACGTTTGCGTTGTTAGTGGGCTTACGGGTATACGTTATTTCACGTTCCTTCACGTATACCTTAAATATCAACGTACGTTAACAAAACTATACTCGAAATATGCCGATGAGTCAAAATTATCAAATTCGAGATCACCAACGACTTCTGCATCAAGGAGTCCTCTAATTTTGACAGGAATGAATTTTCGAATCTAAACACACAACCAAAAATGACCAATACAAACCGAAAGCAAAATGTATTATTACGTTATGATGACAGTGACGACCAAAGTGGCGACTTCAACTCAATTTAACGACAATACGTAAACGTTATTTTTCGTACCTTAACGTCTACGTGGAGGTCTACGTACAGTGATTACTTCAACTCTCTATCAACAGAAGGTCAAAGGACACGAAAATAAGAAGTACATTTATCTGTTCCTGTATGATCTAAGATCTGTTCTACCAAACCTAACCTCATGTTTCAGTGGCGCGCTTTGGTGGACAATAAATAATGTTAGCCTGGATGTTCGCCCTCATTGACCTACACGTGACCAACAAACTTCGTTTTTCATTGATAAAATTTGTGACGTTTATAACATCAATTATGTTGGAAGCCAGAATGATGGATGAAGTGTGCGCAACTCTCGCGAGCCGATCGTTTATTATATCAATTATGAAAAATACTTATAGGAATACAACTTTTGATACTATTTTTCCTGAAAATATTAGTCGATTGACATACTACAGCTTGCTGCTTTAATTTTACTCATGAACATTGTTCCAAGACTTCCCGCCTACAGTTCGAAAGTTTTGATAAACAATGTCATTCGGCCAAATTATTAGGCAACAAGCTGTCGTAACAATCGCTGAATATTTCTTGCCAAATAGTATCACTTGTGGTATTACATATGATAAAAGTCATTGATACCGGTTTCCTGCACCTATTTTGGGAGTGTTTCAACTTCATTCAATTACATTTCAACAGCACTGAATCAAAGTGATCCAGTATATGAAAATTACTACATACAAATCATACAATGAAGTTTCAAAAAATGAAAACATGCTTCCGCATGGATTATTTGTTGCGCCCTGTCTCTAGATAGGCCATTTCAGGTAGTGTTGAATTCGTACATTTTGGTTGTATAGAAGACTAAAACGTCGATGTCGTTCGTGGTCAAATCCAATGAAAATATCTTGCAATGTCACATTTTCAATGCAATTAGCATGATGGAGGTGTACCCAACAATCATAATATGATTTTGTGGCGCCGTCTCACTCTTATGTTGTCATGAATTCCTCTCTTCCTCTAATAGGCACAATTTAGTTTAATGTGGTTATATTATATTAGATCATTATTGTATCCCCTTTTGTTTTCGTCTTCAGAATTCCAACGTGAAATAATGGAAAATTCAAATTCCTGAAAGAAATGTTGAAGAACACCTACCTAACCTTTTTTATATCGAGGTTAGAATGGTTTTCTTATCCATTTCTTCTATTTTTTTATGTCACTAACATGAAATCTTCTTAATTTGACATTTGAACCCTCTACATGAGCTGACTTTGGTGTATTTCTGTGATACGCCATAAATAGTGAGGAAAAGAGGCCCAAGAACAGACCCTTGTGGTATTCCGGTTTTCACATCCCCAAATGCATAAATATCAGCTGAATCCTTCTTTTCCTTTGTTTTCCAGGCGTTTGAAGGTGGATAATTTCGACTATAGTGCCCTGTGTAGCAAAATGGCCGGAATGACGGAGGGTATGTCCGGTAGAGAAATTGCGAAATTGGGAGTCTCATGGCAAGCAGCCGCTTATGCGTCAGCAGATGGTGTCCTTACGGAAAAAATGGTACTAGATAAAGTCGAAGACCATGTAAGGCAGCATAGACAGAAGGTGAGTCAGTTCTGACAAGAGAAAACTTACTCCAGGGGCGTACACATTTGTTTTCTAGGGAAAAAAATTAACATGGAAATGAATAGTGTATATTGCAGTGGTGAAATTGTCACATGAATAATCATTGATCACATTTTTAGGTTGAGTGGCAATCAGAGCAGGAGAAAAAAGAATCCAAGAGTATATATCACTCTGAAAAAGAAGATTCCTATATTCCAATCCTCTCAAAATCATTGGAAGGTGAAGAAGTGAAGATTCAACCAAATGAAGCTGATAAGTCCAGCCAGTCCTTGAAGAAAGATGATAAAAGTAGCAGCTAGAAGTGTAGATCAATTCATTACAGATATGAAGGGGTGAATTGAAAGGTTATTTGACAGTTTACTTCATACCAACAACTAGGAATTTGAAATTTTTAATAAATTAAAATTAGTCTCCAGAGAGTTGCATTTATTGTTATTGTTTGGATCACTCTCAAATTGTACTCCAGTGGGGGGGAGTCCTACTTTTTTATATTGATTGTATAAAATATTTTATAAATTTATTTTTTGCCTGGTCTTGTGATAGTTTGGATGCGCCTCAGGGAAGATTAATTATTGTTCTCTGCATTCAAGTTCAATGTGTTATATTGTTATTTGTTCACAAAACCGATTCGGGAAAAGAGAAATAAACTTGTTTTCTTAGTGTTTCTGTTTAATTTAACACAAAATCCAATTTATTCACCTCATTTTTTTTATACCTTATAGTCTTCTAGATAATTCCATAAAAAATGGAAAAATTCGCTGATGAAATGATGACAGAAAATCTAATTTCGTGGTCAAAATACGTGAATCAACACAGTTTCACAAGGAATTCAATACATTCAACAGTCGGAAAAAAAATCAGAGCAAAGTGCGGTCCAATTTTGCTAGTTTTTTATTATTAAAGATAGAGAGCTGTGCTTCTGCCCCGCACTAGGGCATCACTTGAGGACCCTGTATACCAAATTTGAAGGCCATACGACGAAGTTGATTTTTGGGTCTGAAAATGAAAGAAGGTTAACCCCTTTGAACTTTTTTCACAAATTTCGAGGCGTTAGAATGAGCTAAAAATTGGCACACAGGGTGTTCTAGATATGCTGATCAAGAATCTGTAGTTTGTTTTTCTCATCTCTCTTAGTTTCCTAGATAATCGCCCATTCAAAAATGGAAAAATTGGTCTGAAAACTCGCTGAAATGATATGACGGAGAATCTATTATCGTTGTCAGAATACGTAAATCGACTCATATATGTCATTCTCGCCAGAACTTCAACGCAATTCCTATGATATCGACAATCGAAAAAAAATCAGAGCAAAATGCGGTCAAAAATTGCTAGTTTTTTATTATTAAAGATAGAGAGCTGTGCTTCTGCCCCGCACTAGGGCATCACTTGAGGACCCTGTATATCAAATAGGAAGGCCATACGACGAAGTTGATTTTAGGGCCTGAAAATGAAAGAAGGTTAACCCCTTTGAACTTTTTTCACAAATTTTGAGGCCTCAGAATGAGCTGAAAATTGGCACACAGGGTGTTCTAGATATGCTGATCAAGAATCTGTTGTTTGTTTTTTCTTATCTCTCTTAGTTTCCTAGAAAATCGTCCATTCAAAAATGGAAAAATTGGTCTGAAAAATCGCTGAAATGATATGACAGAGAATCTATTATCGTGGTCAGAATACGTAAATCGCCAGAACTTCAACGAAATTCCTATGATATCGACAATCGAAAAAAAATCAGAGCAAAATGCGGTCAAAAATTGCTAGTTTTTTATTATTAAAGATAGAGAGCTGTGCTTCTGCTCCGCATTGAGGCATCACTTGAGGACCCTGTATACCAAACTTGAAGGCCATACGACAAAGTTGATTTTTGGGTCTGAAAATGAAAGAAGGTTACCCCTTTGAACTTTTTTTCACAAATTTCGAGGCATCAAAATGAGCTGAAAATTGGCACACAGGGTGTTCTAGATATGCTGATCAAGAATTTGAAGTTTGTTTTTTCCTATCTCTTTTAGTTTCCTAGATAATCGCCCATTCAAAAATGGAAAAATTGGTCTGAAAAATCGCTGAAATGATATGACAGAGAATCTATTATCGTGGTCAGAATACGTAAATCGACTCATATCATTTTCGCCAGAACTTCAACGCAGTTCCTATATGATATCGACAATCGAAAAAAAATCAGAGCAAAATGCGGTCAAAAATTGCTAGTTTTTTATTATTAAAGATAGAGAGCTGTGCTTCTGCTCCGCACTAGGGCATCACTTGAGGACCCTGTATACCAAATTTGAAGGCCATACGACAAAGTTGATTTTTGGGTCTGAAAATGAAAGAAGGTTAACCCCTTTGAACTTTTTTCACAAATTTTGAGGCGTTAGAATGAGCTGAAAATTGGCACACAGGGTGTTCTAGATATGCTGATCAAGAATCTGTAGTTTGTTTTTTCTTATCTCTCTTAGTTTCCTAGATAATCGCCTATTCAAAAATGGAAAAATTGGTCCGAAAGATCGCTGAAATGATATGACAGAGAATCTATTATCGTGGTCAGAATACGTAAATCATGCAACTCATATCATTTTTGCCAGAACTTCAACGCAATTCCTATGATATCGACAATCGAAAAAAAAATCAGAGCAAAATGCGGTCAAAAATTGCTAGTTTTTTATTATTAGATAGAGAGCAGCTGTGCTTCTGCTCCGCACTAGAGCATCACTTATTGAGGACCCTGTATACCAAATTTGAAGGCCATTCGACGAAGTTGATTTTTGGGTCTGAAAATGAAACAAGGTTAACCCCTTTGACTTTTTTCACATATTTCGAAGCCTCAGAATGAGCTGAAAATTGGCACACAGGGTGTTCTATATAAGCTGATCAAGAATCTGAACTTGGTTTTTATCAATCTTACTTAGTTTTCTAGATAATCGCATTCAAGAATGAAAAAATCGCAGAAATGACGACAAAATTCATTCTAGTAGTCAAAATACGTGAATCAACTCTGTGAAAATCATCATACAGGGTGTTCTCGATGTCCAATCTCTCATTCAAAGGTGGGAAAAATAATCTTACAGATCACTGAATCACAAACTTTATTGAAAATATGTTTGAAAAAATAATTATCACATCAGTTTTTTGAAATATTAGGTACTTATTACATACAATTCCTCATTACAATATACAAAAAATATAATATAACAAACAATGGCATCGACATATCACATATTATAATCAACTATCTCAATTTGAATTTCAAATCAACAACCAATGGTAGATGATCAGACGGATAATATTTGTTTGGCAGGCCTTCATGTTTTGAGAGTTCTTCTTCATCTGGGAGAGGAACCACGTTTTCTATGGATAGCTTTCCGTTTTCGATAAAAATATAATCCAGACAGCCTTTATAATCCGGTGTGTAATTTGTGTACTTTGAGGTTTCACAAGCACTATCAAAATAGAAATCATGATGGAGAAGAGCCCTTCCATTTGGAGATACTGAAACATCAGAAACATTAAGGAATTATAGGGAGTCACATTTTTTAGTTAGTAACCCAGGAAACCAGATGACGAATGATCACGTCACCCTAATTGGTGATTTTTCGTAAGAGACGTCACACACCAATTTATGACGTCACTATGACGTCATCGTTTCGACGTCGAGTGAACGTCACTTAGATGGGTAAAAGAATACGTCAGTTTCATGACGTTGCAGGAACGTCTTGTTGACGTCCATTTTTCCCAGACCTTCTCTAAACCATGGATACTTATATATTATCATGTGAAACAGAAGTATAACCCATGAAAGCGAATCAACATGCAAGTTTCGTTCTAATTATTAATATACCCGAAAAGTAGTGGAAACACTTTTTTCTAAAAAACTTTGGCACACTGTATATCTCGCGGAAACCAACAAGCTATGTATAAATGAAAATGATCGTTTAGGTATACCTATATTGAAACAGTTACTCTTATGACGTTGCAGTGACGAATCTGTGACGTCTAAAAATCACGTCGGTGTGACGTACCGATTTGGTGAGCTTCGTCATTTAGGAAATTTTTCAATAATTTACTATTTAGATTTTTGTTGGGTGACAAAGAATGCATCAATATACATTTTTCAAGAAAGTGAAGCCAAATTCGCCAACATCCTTTCCATTGCTATCAAACTATTCTTTGTTTGCTTACATCTCGCCGACACAAACTACATAATTTTTTATACAAATACGAGTAACTGATTGCATTCTGATGGAGATGCATACTGTAGGATGGCGCTGCTGAATAGGCGATTGAATGAACATGACATAGGAGGGACCCACCAAGCAGACTCTCAACAATGCATAATCAATATTATATAATGTCATCAAAGGCTAGTGGTGTTAATCACATCATGTTAAAGGAATCTTTTTTACGTATCATCGCCAAATTCAATCGTTATTTTGACGTCATTATGACGTCAGTCGGAAGTCACAGTTTGGTGAGTGAATGACGTCAATACGACGAGAGTAATATGACGTCATTGGGCTGTGACTTATTCACGTCATTATCACGTCAATGCGACGTCAACTACTGACGTCACCTTGGTCATTCAAGTGACGCAAAAAAGACGTCACTGGAACGTCATCTGGTTGCCTGGGAAACAACAACAGGTGCAAAATAAAACATTTATAACTTTTCAGTCAAGTTGTCTTCAGGAGTTCCAATGTAAAATTTTATGTTGGTTATCATAAAAATGAGAAGAAAGGGAAAGACCATTATAAATTGAATTTAAAGAAGGTTGGGATAGTCTTCCCATTTCTTCTAATTTAGTGCTACTAACGTAAAATCCGTTTCAGAAATGAACACTTTTTTGTTACAGTATAACTAAGAAAAGAAATAAAATAATATGAATAAATACATACTCTTTAAACAGTCCTCATGAGATGGATGTATTTTTCCCTGGATCATGAATGGAAACAATGACTTTGATGGATTGCTGTTGAAATCTCCACAAAAAATCACAGAAATGTTGGATTTAGCCTGGAAAAATTACGCTTATTATTTGCGATAATTATGAGATACATTTTCCGCTACAATTGGTTTATCCTATCCACTATACGTCGAGTTTGCAAGATGTTCCTTCAACCTTGTTTTAATGTGTCTCCTAGTTTGACCTACATATTTTGCTGCAATCGTTAGTTACTACTTGCTTCGTTTGTTCCTGATTGTGTATGATGAATTTCCTAATTTACACCTGAATTCATATCTTTTGATGCTCAAGTCTCTGAAAATTCAATGAATTTCTCTTGTTGACTTATTCATTCAAATAGTCATGGAATTTCACAAAGTAGGTATGCTTAAATGTACCAGTATCTTTTGTATAATATCACAAATATATCGTGAACATATCTCATCCATCCTATCGGTATAGTTGAACCACTGGCATATCAGAAATTTGAGAAATTAAATGATTGCCGCAGAACATATGTAGGTCCAACTGGTAGATTCATTTAATACAGAGTTCAAGAACATCTTGCACATTTAGAGTTTTTGAATTGGTAGAATCAACTGCAAGGAATATATGTTTCAACTAGAAATGTTTTATCATTGTGTCCCTGATCGAGTATATTTTGTATTTCATTTCTATATTTTATATAGACAATACATATATCGTTTGTTAGTGATCAAATTGTATTGCTTTGCCTGACTTATTTCCCCAAGTTTTTAAAATCCTAATTCAACTGCTTGTGTGTAAGTTCCTATTCCTTATACAGGTTAATTCATAATATGTGTGATGACCTTGGAAAGATGATAAAGACGTCTCAAAAATAATTCAAAAAGTCATAATGAACATTTTTGGGGTAACAGCTAGGTTACCTATTGAAAATGTTGAGAAATCATTTTTTTTTTTCATTGAATACAATTGAATTTTAGATTCAACTATTTCAATGTAGTCAGGAAACTTTCAACATTTTCAACACTCTGATATTATGAATTCAAAGAAGAAGTTCTTTTCTGTATTTGTCTTCAGGGTTGCTTTGTGAAATAATTAGAATTTCATGTTGGTAACTTAAAAAATGGGAAGACATGGAGAAGATATTGAAGTTGGGACAGAAAGGGAAGACCGGGAAGCCGAACTTATCTCTATTAATAGAATATACTGACATATCTTTTCTTCAGCATATTGATGTAGGCCGTGGCCATTGTGGCTTGCAACAGCCTTATGTGATTTGCTTCAGGATGGTAGTAAAGATGAGTGTTAGCCACTAGCAAATGTTTGTTACGATGCCCTTTCACTTGCAAAATTAACACTTGCAAGGAAGTCAACACTCTCATGAACTCAGTTTTTACATCTTCATTTTTCTTCACCAGTTCCCAAATGGGTTTGAAAATTCTCAGTTTGGAAATCTCCTGGCCATAAACAATGTGATTGGCTTCAATGAATCTGCAAAAAATATGAAATGATAATTCCTCACAGCTTCTCCAAGATATGGTTGTAGTGTGATTGTCTTGCCAATGTTTACAGTCATCAATATAATCATGCTCTAATAATACAGAGTGAAAATATACATTGAAATATTGAAGATTTATGAAAAAAGTATATTTGGAATAATAAGAATTCCAATCTGAAGACTCAGAAGTGGGTAAAAAAAAAACAAATAAGATGATATTGAATTTTAAATTTCTCAACCTGAAACGACTTTTCCTAAAGAAGCAAGCCAGTCCTTCAGGAATAGAGTTTCCTTTCTTGTTGTAGGTACTACTGAACTGTTGTTCTTTGAACTTGGGTTTCAAATAGTTATGGTAGTGAATGCTATCCACTTCTTGTAGGCATATTATGTCAGCATTGAAACCTGTTGATTGAAAATATCCCATTTAATTTGTCCCATTAAAATAAATCTCATATTCAATTAATACAGAAGGGTGAATAAATCATCAAAATAAAATAAAAATGTTACATATTGTTATTCATCAACTCACAATCAAATTCATTGGATAACAGCTAAACTAATTCTACTTATAAAGACTTGACTTCAACTTGAACTGTATTCTGCATAAGATGTTGATTCAATAAAAGTTATATACCCTCTGAAATATTCCTTGCTTTTGCCTGTACTTACCAGATAATTCCCTCCATAGAAGCTGTTTCCTATAGTCAAACACAATATATTTGGGACTGCAATAAGAATAATTATCATCAATTGAGGTGTACCTTTCAGCTAGTATGTTGTATGAAACAACTCTGAACCTGAAAAAATAATTAAACAACTCTAGGGATATTCTTTTATTCTGAACTAACTGAGATATTTTTCTAGAAGTGAAGCATCTGATTCAGTTCAGCTCTAGTGAAATGTTCCAGTTAGTTTAGATTGAAAGAATATTACTTCTGAAATCACATCAACTGTGGAAATAAAGTGATGTAACTTTCAAACTGTCATAAAATGATAGATCTATCATGGTTCATTATTCAAGAATTTTTGGGTTCATTTTAGGGACATCAATAATACTATTGAATCTGATAAATTCTTCCATTGTGGCAATGGAATTTGATTTTAATGGACCACTAGCCAAATCCATGGAAAGAATCATATTTATATGCTGTACTGTGGTCTTATGTCTGATTATGGTGAAACTAACATGTAGTGTATTTTCCAACAAGAAATTTGATGGATTTACAGCCCTGGAAATTTTTTTATTTTTGTTATTTCAAATAATTCTGATACTGATAGTGATGTTGAAACCATTCACATACTACATTCTCAATATTGCATTAGTGTCAGTTAGTTCTATTATGCTTTTTGCATACACAATTTGCATATCAAATTTCCATGAGGAATGTAAAGACCTGCATTTACTGAGCAAATTGGCTCATTTAAAATTTCTAGAAGAACATTCAGGAAAACCATCTGGTTCAAAGAACAGAGACTGTGACAGAATTCCATTGAAGGCTATGGACAAAGCTGGACCATCCAACCCTCAATCAGACAAAAAAAATGTGTCAAGTTTAGCCAGTGAAGTAAGAATTGTAAAGAACATCAACAATAAAAATTATAGAGTACCATTCAATGACAAAAGATTGTTTCAAGATAGATAAACAATGTGTCTGGGAGAAAATTTTGAGATTATATGGCATACCTAATTCATGTATTAAAATTTTGCATGGACTTACTGCTCTGAACCAGCTAATTCTTTTTTAGTAAATAAATGTCTTGTTTCAAATGGACAATTTGGTATTTCTTCCATTTCTTCAACTGTAGTATCAGAAATAACTTCAAAAATAGGCCCTTCAATATTTGCAGTGTTTACAGGTTTACAAGTCAATTTCAGGAAATGATTCACATCTTCTTTGGTGGTGAGATAGGTGTAGCCAGAACCACATTTTTCCCATTCAATCTTGTCCAGTGATTTTGACCATGTGAAAATGCACTTATTACGGTCAGTATAAATTGAAAAAAACTTTATAGGTTGAATTACATATCCAACATAGAAGACCCGAAGTAATTTCATGGTCTTCACCAATGGTGTATTACACAACAGAACATATTTCTGGCTGAACACCTCAAATATGATAGGATCATTGGATTCAGGAGACTTCAGTAAATTTTTCACACATGTATTTTCTTTAAGATCTTTTCCAGATCTTTTCATCCTGACTGGAATATTGATTTTTTGTTGATTTTCTTTCTCCTCTTCAGAGGAAGCATTCAGCTTATCTTGTATAATTTTCTGCAACTTGTTTTTTATGTGGTCAATCATGGAAATTACAGTATCTGAACTTCCTCGCACAGCTTTAATTTCTTCACATAACTCCAAGTTTACGTCTGGTACTTCAGTTCTTAGAAAAAATGTGAGGTCACATTGGCCTGTGTGTTCATTTTCTCTTAAATGAGCTATTTCTAGTGTCTCTCCATTCACTTCCATTTCTTCTCTGTTGATCTACTAGGTGTAGGTAAACGACGTACAGAATGAAATGATACGAAAATATATTGGGTGAATTACAGAAAAATAATCAACAATAAAGTTACACAATGAGTACATGAGTCATGAAAACTTTCCATTACACTACATAGAAATTTGAGATTAGAAAGCAGAACTTTTATACCATACTCATACACTCACAGCCCTACAGACTAAAATTATCAATATCATGATCTGTCAAGATATTGATAATTATTAATATTTTCAAGAGTTTCACTGTTTTTGTGGATGTTTTGGGAAAAATATACACTAGGTTAAACTAGGAAAACTGATAAATTTGAATTCTTCTCTTCTCTCTTCAGCGAGCGGACCGGACCGTGGAGCTGAAGAACCGTAGCTATTCAGACTAGACTATCCGGCTTTTTTCTTCTTCTTAATAATTGATAGTATTGTGCCCCATCTTCTCTTCCTACGTTCTTTTCTGCTCTTCACTTCTACTTCCCTTTCTCTTATTTCTTTAATCAACATTGAGGTTATACTGCCCCAACCCAAATATTGTTTCCAAAAAGGTTGAATAGTTGAATAAACTAAAGAGAGATATTATAAAACGAGGATTATGAAGTCACTCAGTGCGCTCAGGTGCTATAAAAAAACCGAGAATGGTACCTTAATCGAGAGGTTTCGGTATTCCATCTCTAGTAAACAGATTTTCTTCGGGAACAATAGGGAAAAGAGCACCAAAAGCGGAGGGTCTAGTTCCAGTAGCGACAGCTGCAGCAGTAGTGATTCTGATAATGAAGCAACAAGGAAAAAAACAGTTCCACAAATAAAAAGTCAGGATACTTTGAATAAGCTGAATAATTTATTGATGCAGCTGGTAGAACAAGATGTAGTTGCAAAAGCCTCTGAGCTCCAACTTGCAAAGCCCACCAATAAACGTATGACAAAAAATGCACAGAGGGAAGATCCTAAACATGAAACCAAAGAGAAACAAATGGTAGAAGCTGCAAAACATGTTGCTAAAGAGTTAGGTGGTAATGTGAATGAGACTGAATCAGAGCTACTGATGAAACTTCTCAATACCATGGAACCACAACCTGCCACACCAAGTTTAACTGACATTGTAAAGGGTATGAAGATTGACAGGACAACCAAGAATGCTCAACAAACTAGGGCTGATCAAATAAGAAATATTCTGCAAGAAGTGCACAGTAAACACAAGGGTGAGGGTACAAACACAGACAGAAGACTTAGAAAAGCTCCTCAACATAGACAAAAGCAAGATGTTGCAGTTCAAAGAATAGATTTGTTTGGTAGTGATCCTCTGGGAATATTCACCAATAAATCCAATTTGAAAGAGGTTCCAGGAAATACAATGTGGAAGAAGCTCTGGGAAAGAGATTTGAAACTAGCTGTTACCCATCCTCCTTCAAATCATTTTCAGCAGATGATTTTGTGGACTGAACAAGGAAAGCTCTGGAAATTTCCCATAGATAATGAACAAGATTTAGAAGAAGAAAGGACAGTGTCTTTTGCTGAGCATGTATTTCTGGAGGAACACTTGGAGCCATGGTGTCCTCCCAGAGGCCCTATCAGACATTTCATGGAGTTAGTTTGTGTGGGGCTTTCAAAGAACTCCTACCTGACTGTGCAGGCAAAAAAGGACCACATTGATTGGTTCAAGAACTACTTTGAAGATAAGAAACAATTGCTGCAAGAGGTTGGAGCTCTTCCAACAGAGTCCCAAAAACAGGTTGAATAATTGTTAGTTGTTGCTATTGTAATAGTTTATAATCATTGATGAATAAACCAATATTTAAGTACCTACCTATGCTGTTGTGATACTGAATTTTAATACTTTTCACACAGTGGCTTAACTTGCCCTAGAGAGGTCAATTTATTTATTGATTTACACTGCATTGGGCATGAAAAGTTCAGTTCTTGTACAAATTTGCATCTTTTTATCACATGGAGTTTCGGAAATACTCAAGAAAAATCATCTTCAGGAGACCCCTTACGTATAGCTTCCTTAGGAGACATTTCTTGGCTCATTTTCATGAAAGTTTTCTTTCTATTTTTGTTCGTTAAAGCCGCTAGTTAAGTTTGGCAGGCTAATTTCGGGACACCCTGTATATAACTTAAGAATTTTTTTTATTCCCGTCCCAGGAACGTCCTTATATCAATGCAAAAAGTCCCTGGAACTTACAATAAAGGATGTCCTTAATTGGACACTGAATGGACATCCAATGGCTATCCATTAACCACTAGTAGAATGGACATCCGTTTAGGGACATTCACTGGACGTGAAGATTTAATTGAATTTCCTTTATACCACTATATATACCATTTGTCAATCGATCAATTCTTTTTATCGGAATAGTGAGTTTATCATGTTCCTAATTTCATGTGATATAAAAAAACATATTTGAAGGCAACAGAAGTTTTGCAGCGGTATAGGTACACTCGCATTCAGTGGTTTCATAAAAATAAATAAGTTTCTGAAATTATTATATAGACTGATATATAAATATATATATATAATATATAATATATTCTGAACATAAGAACGTAAGAAGTCTAAAAGCCAAAGGAGTAGTGTACCTGCTTGATAAGTCAAAGATCGCGTGTTCGAATCCCGAAAGCCAACAATTTTTTTTTCATTTTTAAGATATGTCCATCACCTGGATCGAAATGGACATGCATTGGATGTCCAATTTAGTTGCAAATGGACATCCGATGGATATCCAGTGGATGTCCCTCTGGACATAATCGGACGTCCAATGGATATTCGTAATGTCCATTGTGGACATCCTTCGGACATCCATTGTATGTACGTGTGTTATATGGGCCATGGGATATTTCTGGGATAATGTAGGTATATCCCGAAGACGTACTGAATGGACGTCTCGGCTAAGACCTTTTTGGATGCCAAGGGATGTCCATAGATCGTCCCTAGTATATGTCCCGTGTCCCGACAGGAGCTGTCCCATCAGGGACATCCTCCTAGTGACTGAGGGACGTCCCTGGGATGTCCATGGAATGTACTTGTGTTGTTAGGGTTTTGTAATTATGAATATACAGGGTGGCATTGAAATGATGTGCAAATATTTCAAACACTGAGAAAGCTCGACGTATACTATCGAATGGCACTAATACAAAAAAATTAGGGATCAGAATAAAATTTGAGTTTAGACCCCTTTTTCCAGCCAAAGTTCTACACTCTGTAGCTAATCTGACGTCACCTCTCTTCAGAATTCCATGTGGTAGGCACAATAACGGGGAGTTCAATCATTTAAATTGTTTTAAAGTGGTGTACTTTATTTTTTTCTCGTATTTTGTTCAATTTTTGGGATGAAATTTATCGTTAATTAGAATAATGGGAATATTCCTTAAACTGTTTCATATTATGATCTGCTGAACATGTGCACTTATTTAAAAAACATCTCGGATATATTCTAAGAGGAATATTTGAATAATATTTGGAACAATCCAGAAGCACATATCAATTCTATATTCTGGAAGATCCTTGTTTCGTCATATTGTCAATAAAGGGACTGAGGAAATATTCCGGAGCAATATTTTAGTAACAATTTATCAACGTTTTTGTTTTGGCATGGATAATGAAACATTGGTGTCCCTGAAGAACCAGTAATTTTTTTTTATTAATACGTATTTTGACCTATTTTGAAAACTATAGTTGTACGATTTGAAGGCAATGAACATGCATGACACAAGTATTTTTTTAACAAGATGTGTTTTTTTTGCAATCGACCGTTCGTGATATTTATATACCTTACGAAATAACTAGGTATTAAACTGTGGTATGTATAGGTATACTTATTTGTGAAATGGGAGCAATTTAGAGGTAGAGATGTCTAGATTTTCATTACTTTCAACATTTATTAAAATAATTTATAGCGACTTTTCAGATCTGTTATTATAACCTAAAGAATTTTTCAAATTCATATATGACTAATATCTTGTCTACACTTGTGAGTTATTGGTTTGTTCCACTTTTTCAAATTAGCGAAATAAGATAATGAAAATATAAGTGTGTCACACGGGTATAGGTATATAGGTAGGAACGCGCAAGAATGGTTTAGGATATCTTTATTTATAGACAATGCTTGAATATATATGAAGTATCTTCAAATAATCTTATGCCTATAGCGTATACCTATACCGATATCTTCTCGATATAAATACAACGATACCGATATTTTAATTCAGTTAGGTATTTACGATTATTGAAAAAAAAAATGAAAATTCATTCAACTTTTGATCAGAACTCAATCACTTTGACTATCTGCAGTTACTATAAATAGCTCTCACAAAAGCAATGGAAGCTAAAGTATAAGTATTTATATGTATATTTTCAAGTTCAACCCAACCAGATTCACTATAACGATATACTAAATATTTTTTGTTTCCATATACAATGTTTTCAAACATTTACAAATGATTTTTCACACCTTTATCGTAGAAAAATCAAATAATTATCATCAGTCCACGCATAATTTCAAACCATCAACCGTAACATAAATCAGCATTAGAAGATATTTCATAATTTTTGTTGACGGTAGATTGGCTGAAACACCATCACACAAGAAAATAAAAACCAAATTTTATATGTGGTATAAAAATGCACTTGACAAATTTTCGAACAATTTTATTGCTTATGCTGACAGTTTTATAGCAGAGAAAGTTATGAAGTTATTAATTTTTCCAAAAATACAAAATGGACCCATCAACAAAAATTCAGCTGAAAATGAGGTTAGATAGAATATATCAATGATTTATTATGAATGGATCAATCCAGGTACCATATTTTCCCCATATTTTCCTGAATATTAGTTATAGCTCTTAGTGATACTAGTTTTGTCTTTAGTAGAAAAAAGTATAGTTAATTGTTCAGAAAAATGCAGCTATTATAAATAAAAACGATAAATGATTTTGCCGACGACCTGGAAAAAAATATAACAAATAATTATTGACTTAGACAAACTTTAAATGCGCACAGTTTGTAGTTCGCGGTCAGATACTTGGAAAGTGCTCGAAAAACTCATCTTCCTTGATACGGTTTTTTTTTATTTTCTGGTTCCCACGAAAAGGGATATCCTGTAATGTTCAGGGAACATCGTGAGAACCAAGTAAAATAAGGAAAGAATTGAATTTCTGGAGGTTATTTGCCTCGGGGAACACCTCCCTTGGCAATGTATTCCAGAGCCTCGCTGTTCGTTGGATGAACGAGTCTTTGGAAAGAGATGTTCTACAGGTCTCCAAAGTGACCACGAAGGGGTGCGAAACCTCAACTCGACGGGTTAATCTCGGGGGGACTGCCAAGGGAGGAACGATTGTTGATATTTCAGAAGAGCATCGTCCATGGAAATATCTATAAAATAGAGCCAGATCGCCAACTTTTCTACGGTGTTCCAGAGAAGTGAGAGAGTTTGTGAGCGAGGCATCACCCACGAGACGAATCGCCCTTTTTTGGACAGAATCCAACAGTTTCAGGGCATGTTTGGGTGCTGCACTCCAAATACGGGAACAGTTTTCCAGGACAGGTCGGATCTGTGCCTTATAGATCATAAGCAGCTGACTGGAAGTGAAATAGCTCCTGGCCTGAAACAGAAAACCAAGTTTTTGGGATGCACTTTTAGCAATTGATCTCACGTGATTTTCCCAAGAAAGGTTATTGCTGATAGTAATACCAAGTATCGAAATGGATGTCTTCAAAGGCAAAGGTATGGTTACTCCTGACAAGCTTATGTTGGGCACAGTGAGATCGGCTTTTCTAGAGAAAAGGCATGCTTATGTTTTGTTTGCATTGAAATCTACCAAGTTATTGGATCCCCATTCGAGAATTGTTGCCAAGTCCATATTTATGTTGTCAACATTTTTCCCTCGTTCGTTTCTGATTTGCCTGGCTGGTATTGGAGCCCTGGAAGAGAAGGCGGTATGGAGGGTACTATCATCAGCGAAGCTGTGTGCTGGACATGAAGTTGCTACCAACAAATCGTTGATATGGAGTAGAAATAGTGTGGTGCTAGAATGGATCCTTGCGGAACACCAGAATTTATGATAAGAGAGTCAGATGAAACTCCGTCGACCACTACATGGAGAGACCTGTTTGAGAGAAAACTAGCTAGCAGAGAACATAAATGGGAAGGCAAGCCATAAGATGGAAGCTTGGCGAGGAGTCCGTGGTGCCAGACTCGATCGAATGTCTTGGAGATATCAAGTGCCACGGCTAAGGTTTCACCATATTTTTCAAAAGATTGCTGCCATATATGTGAGACGTAAGCGAGCAAGGTCACCAGTTGATCTCTGATGAAGGAAGTCATATTGCCTATCCTGAATGTTCCAGGTATTTCATGAGCTCGATGTTGCTAGCTTTATCCATGATCTTTGAAATAATAGAAAGCAGTGCGATCGGTCTGTATAGTTGCTAGGTAGGGTCATTTTGCCTTTTTTAGGAACTGGTTGTTCTCTTGCAATTTTCTAGTTGGACGGGAATATCCCCAATTTGTAAGAGTAGTTGAACAACTTGCAGAGAACAGGTGTTAGTTCGGGAGCACATTTCTTGAGGACAATCGGTGGGATTTCGTCGGAGCCACAAGCGCATACGTTGTTGCCGCTGTAGCACTTCTGAGTCAATAAATTATTCGCCGGTAATGTGTATTACGGCCGGCTGGCGGCCGTCTGGACACCTCGAAGGCGGGAAGGCATTACCAAAGAACAGTAGGTTCCTCTTTGGCATTA